GGGGGAGGAGGATAGGGGAGGAGGATGGGGAGGAGGGGGGAGGAGGAGGAGGAGGAGGGAGGAGAATGGGGGAGGAGGGGGAGGGGAGAAGGCGCGGAGAGCTCACCCACCTCTTTGATCTCTTCTAGAAGATGCTGCAGTTCCCAGTTCTGCTCATTGATGAAGTTAAACTCCGCGAAGTTGCGTTCCTCAACTGGGGGAAATTAAGGTGGGGTACAGAGAGAGAGAGAGACAGAGAAACAGAGATCACAGAAGAGCAGAAAAAAAATATTCAGAAAGACCACACAGAAAAATAAAATAAAATTGAAAACAAGACCACACACAGACAAAAGTAGAGACCAGTAGAAAGAAAAGGTATCAGCAGAGTGACACAGAAATCCAGAGTTAATCAGAGTGAAAGAGTCCGGGACAGAGAGAAAGTCTCAAGGAGGCACAGAGCAGGAGAGATGCAGGGGCTCAGAGAAAGGCGAGGTGTGAGAAAAGAGGGAGACAAATCCGAGAAACAGCAGCAGGGACGGGAGAGAAATGAGGGACACGGAGTGGACGCAAAGACTCCATAGGCGGCCCAGGCGCGGGGCAGGGGAGGTGGGGAGACGGAAACAGAAAGCAGATGCAAGAGGGCTACGGAAACCGAACCCCGAGGGAAGGGTACAGACTCCCAGGCCGGTGGGAAACACTGCAGGGTCGGGGGGTGGAGAACAACGGGATAGGGACAGCAAAGGGGGACAGAGACAGGCCATAGTCCCAGCAAATGGACAGAGGCCGCGCGTCCCAGGCCTGGTTCCTTGTTCCTGCGCCGGTGAAAGTCCCCAGGCCTAGAGATGCCTAGCGCTGACCCAGGATGGTCCACGCGGGATGTGGGGGTGCTGGGCCAAGAGCCCCCCTCCCTCTGCCCAGTGCCACTCACTGTCCAGGTACTTCTGTACCAACAGATCCGGGTTGCTCTCGCCGGTCAGCTGGGACAGCTTACTCATGGTGTCCTCATAGCGCATCACCAGCTTCTCCTGGGAGCTCTTTCGGAGTCCTTCAGCCGCCTCCCCAGCTGAAGAAGCCACAGCTGTGAGGTGGCACCAGGGGCTCGGAGCCCAGGGCACCCGCTTCCACCGACATCCGGAGCCCGCCCTGGAGTGGCAACCAGGCCTCCCGGGTGGGCGTCCCCCCGCTGCTCACGCTTCTCCGCAGTGAGATCCCCGCGGTCGTTGTTCTTGAGCTTGAGGAAACGGTGCAGCTGGTCCAAGTGTGATATCTGCCGCTGCAAGATCTGCGCCTCCGTGTCGTTCTGGGCCACCTCCTTCTCTGTCCGCTCCCGAAGCACGCCCATTTTGGTCTTTGCCTCCTCCCTGTGGGGGGAGATCAGCAACTACCAGGAGGTCAGGATTGGGTAGAGGTCTGGGGTCCTGGTATAAGCACTGTCAGCTGGGGGTCGTAGGGATGGGGGGAAGTTAGCTGGGGTCACTGGGATGGAGCCAGGTCGGCCTGGGACAGAGCAGTCACCCTGTAACCACAAAGAGCACAGAGCTTTCTAGGCTCCGGGAGCCAGATCAAGATAGGGCTATGGGGCAGCCAGGACCTTGTGAGGACTGACAGCATCGCCCACTGACAGGCACTGCTACTGTACACAGGGCATCTGGGAGGCCAAATGCCCCCGTGACCCTGGAACAAGAACAAAGGTGGTGATGAGGGCCAGTGGGAGATTATACCAGGATGCCCAAACGTGGGCCCAGGTGATAGGGTGACTGTACCAGAGCTGTGAGATTGTGTTGTTGGAAATTTAGAGGCTTGTACAGCTCAGGGCCTGGTAAAGCCAGGGAGGAGGTGTCACCCCATTAGGATATTGGGGACTCCCTAGAAGCCTCTCTCATGCACATCCCCTGCCTTGCTCAGCTCTGAACGCAGCTTTTCTGCTTTTGGCCTGGTGTGACCAACTGTAAGTTCACCACACCTAGCCTACTGCAAGGTCACAGGGTCAGGGGGTAGGACATAACGAGGGCCAGTTCCTGAGGCTCTCTGCCCACTGCCATTCTAGTTCCCACCTCCATACCCTGGCCAGTCTTGGTTCCTCCACCCAGATCCCAGCTTCTTGCTGAAATTCGATTCCTTCAAGGCTAGTTATGGCCAGGCCTCAAGGGTGGGCAGCCTCCCGACAACCTGGTCCCCAGTGACAGCTCCAGCCTCGCAGTCAGGACTTGCAGATCTTTCTGTTCCTGGGACTCCATGGAGCCCAGGGACAGGGGAAAGAAACCCAGCTTCCGGGCAGCTAGGACCTTCAGGGGTCTGCCTTACAACAGTAGCTCGGGGAAGCAGAAACCATCATGACAATCATGTCACAGTGAAGGAAACAGGCTCAGAGAGGGACAAGGACCTGCCCAGGTCATCCAGCAAGGAAGCACTGGAGACACAAGCTGGTGTGACAGAAAGTGTGGGCGATGACACCTGCCCCTGCTGAAACTGCCCTGTGCGGCGCCCAGGCAGGTGCCCACTTCAGGAGGCTGGAGGAGAGTGGCACAGGCTTGTTTCTGGCAATGCTCGGATGCGCCACAAGGACTGGGCAGAAAGTATGAAACACGACAATCAGATTCCCTCCCTCAGAATTTGAATTAGGAAATGCTAAGAATGAGAGAACAGGAAGCCAAAGCTAGAAGGGTGTACAGCGAGAAAGACCTGGGCCATGGCAGGGCCAGGCTATGAAGAAGCCCAGCTGCGAGGGAACAGAAGCCACCAACTAGGTACGGTCAGGCCCTGAAGGGTCAGGGCAGGACAAAGCTGAGAAACCACAGTGGCTGAGCCTCAGAAGCTTCACCCTGAGGGAAAAGCCCAACACGAAAGGTCCCAGGCTGTCCGATTCTACCTATATGAAATGGCAGAACAGGCCAGGCCCAGAGACAGAGGGAGCCTGGAGGGCACCAGGGACAGGAGAGTGAGCAGGAGTTTCTTTTGGGGTGACCGAATGTGTTGGAGAGGAGAAGTGGGTTACAACACTGGGGCATTCTAGATGCCGTGGGCTGCACACTTGGAGATGGTGAATCTTGTTATGTGCATTACAAAGAAAGGAAGAGGAAGGGAAGAAATCACAGAAACCATGAGGCACACCTGGTCTTCAAGGGACCCGGTGGTGTCAGGCGCCCCCAGGAAGCAGAAGTCAGGGGGTGGACAGCAGACGCAGAGGAGAAGGTAAGACGCCAAGCAGGGAGTGGGAGAGGTGCCCGGGGAGCTGGGAGAGGTGTCCGGGGAGCGGGAAAGGTGCCCGGGGAGCGGGAGAGGTGCCCGGGGAGCGGGAGAGGTGCAGCCGGGGAGCGGGAGAAGTGCAGGGAGCGGGAGAGGTGCAGCCTGGAGCCCCGCACAGGAAGGAAGCCAGCACCCAGCTTCCAGGGCTCCACTGGGAAGCAACCTGGGAGAACCGCGTCCCTTTCAACCAGCACTGATGAGCCTAGCTGCTGGGTGCCTCCGCGAGTCCCAGGCCCCCAGCTACGTGCGTCACCTGAACTCTCTCTCCATCTAGGAGCTGGAAGCATTAACCGACAGGGTGACCTGAACCCTCATTCTAACCACGTGCCCGAGAGGCGAGAGGCGGAGAGGCAAAGAGACACGTCACTGGGGAGCTGGCTCGGTCGTTTCTTGAGTCTAGAGCCCTCCCGCCCTTGCCTTGTGAGTCTAAGCCGCACCCGCCCCGCCCCAGCCGCGAGCCCGGGGCCCCACCTGACGGTGTAGGCGGAGGTGGAGGAGACGATGAGCGAGCTGACCATGTGCCGCAGGTGGTGGATCTCCTGCGGAGAGGAGCAGGAAATGAGCGCTGCTTCTGCCAAACCCGTCGCACTGCCCCGCCAGCAGAGAAATGCCCAAGCTGCGACGGGAGCCTCCTCGTGAGCAGCCGCCTGTGAAAGGGCCCTAAAGAAATATGGGACAGGGCTGGGCGGGGCTCAGCGGCAGAGCACTTGCCTGGCACGTGAGAGGCACCACATAAATAAACAAATAAACAAAGGCATTGTGTTCATCTGCAACTACAAAAAAAATTTAAAAAGAAGAAGTGTGGGACAGAGGAACATGGAATGGATGAGGGGCAGAGGTGGCTCAGAGCCGCTCTCCAGGGAAAACGCCTAACCAGGACTGTTCCTGAGAGTGGTGGGCAGGGAGATCCATGCGGACCCTATCACTGTGCTGCAACGGGGATGCAGGTCCCCCCCACACACAGAGGTCCACGTGGGGAAAGCCTGCTCCCAGCATCAGGTCACTGGGAGATGGGGTTACCTTTAAGAAGCGGAACCTAGTGCTAGGTGATTAGGTCACTGGAGGTGCTGCCCTCAGAAGGACCCTGAGTGCATTCTTTTGAGAGCAAATCTGGCTCCTTCCCTGTCTCTTGGTCTTCCTGTCTCATCATATAATGTCTCCCTCTTGCCCGTGCTCCACCATGATGCCATCTACTATGATGTGACACAGTCAAGGGGGCCTTACAAGAGCCAACATTGTGCCATGTAGACTTTCAGCCTTCAAAACTATGAACTGAATAAACCTCTTTTCTTTATAATAAAATATGAAGCCTCAGGTATTTGTCATAGCAACAGAAAATGAATTAATATACCCTGTGACCACACTTCTATTTTCTATTTTCTAGTTCCACAGATATTTCTACAGTGTTATGGGTAAAAATTACTCTTTCAAAAGGAAGAAAGAGCCAGGTGCAGTGGCACATGCCTGTAATCTCAGTGGCTTGGGAGGCTGAGGCAGGAGGATCACGAATTCAAAGCCAGCCTCAGCAACTTAGCAAGATCCTAAGCAACTCAGCAAGATCCTTTCTCTAAATAAAATACAAGAAGGGTTTAGGGATGTGGCTCAGTGGTTAAGGCCCCTGGGTTCAATCCTTGGTACAAAAAAAAGGAAGGAAGGCAAGAAATTTGACATACATACACATACATAAAACATGTATAGATACACAGATACATAAACAGGTGGGCATACACAACAACCTACGTTAGGGTAGAGAACTAAGAAATGTATGACTTACAGGAGCTGGGTGGGAACCAGGTAGAAGAGATGGGAAGGCAATGATTTTTCCTTGGGATACCTTTTAGAAGAGGGCGCTTTGCCACTGAGCCACATCCCAGCCTTTATTTATTTATTTATTTTTAATTTTGAGACAGGGTCTCACTAAGTTGCTTAGAGCCTCACTAAGTTTCTGAGGCTAGCTTTGAACTTGTGATCCTCCTGCCTCGGCCTCCTAAATGGAATATTTTTGATTTGGGAGACTTGTTAATGTTTTACTTATTCATAAAAGAAATCAACAGAGAGAAAAGGAAACTAACCCTGAATATAAACAGAAGTCATGAACCTCACTGTATCACACTTGAAGAACATAATCACAGGCTGGGGATATGGCTCAGTTGGTAGAGTGCTTTCCTTACATGCTCAAGGCCCTGGGTTCAAACCCCAACACTAATAATAATAATAATAATACAGAAGACCAAAAAATAGAACTACCCCAAAAAACTTCTGAACACAATGATTTGAATAGATACATAAATGCTGAGGAGAAAACAAACTAGAAGCGAACCTTGACCCCTACTCGTTATATTGGGGCGGGGAGTAGCACAGCTGTAGCAATTCTGAAACTCTTTTGAGTATACACATGATTGAGCTGACAAGTAATAAACTAATAAGATTGTTGCTTTTGGGAGCCAGGATTGCCACCGTAGAGAAGCGAGATGAAGGGGGCACGTCCAGTCAAACACCAGTGATGCTGGATTGGAATTCAAGGTGTTAACAGAAATTCCTGGCTGTCTCCAGAGGAAGGGCTTCAAAGTTGTGATGATCCATAGCAGTGAAGGCTCGGTGTCTGATTCCTGGATTCTCAATACCTGCTCCCCACTAGGAAAGAACAGGACTCCTAGGAGGATGGTGAACTCCAAGGTTAGGGCAGAAGAAGTACAAGGTCACTTTTACTGTCTGGCCAGAAAGTGCTCAAAAAAAAAAGTGGTGGGGCTTGCCCCAAAGTCACAGAGCCAACTTGAAAGGGCACTGAGTGGCCAAATCTGGGAGTAATCGAGCATCAAAATCAATGATGATACCATGGGCTATCACCACTAGAAAGACAAAGTCAGAATGCTCACTGATGATACCAACACTCGGGGGAGAAGGGGCTTTTCCTGAGAACAGTAAAAGACACGGAGAAGTAGAAAGCTCCTCTGCAGCCGCGGCCCTCAGGATGCAGGCAAATCAGGAAGGGGGCTGACCAGGCCAGTGAGCGAACGCGGGAGGCAGGAGGTTTCAAAGACGAAGAATCTCCCTGAGACCCTTGTGATGTACCCATTACAAAGAGAAGCCCACCTGGGGGAACCCAAGGGTCAAAGGCAGCCTCACTAGTCAGGGGCCAACAGGGAGCAGAGGCCTCCTGCTGGAACGCACAGCTCAGGACCTCGCGCAGGGCACTGAGCAGCCTCAGAATCAGAACATGAAGAAAGGCCAGACGAGCTCCTAGAGAGGGACATGCACAACACGGCTGGCCTGGATGCTTCCAAAATGCCAAGGTCGTGGAGACAGGAGAGCAAAGGCAGCATTCCAAAGGAACCGTGAACGGAGCCAGGACAATCAAATGCGACCTGGGATCCTGGACCGGAGCCTGGAGCCGGAAAATCAAATTAGCTACAAAGGACGGCGCGGGGCAGTCTTGCAACGTGGACCCGTTAGGATTCGAGCAATGTCAAAGTTCCTAGCTTGGATAACCGCACCCTGTTTGTTTATAAAAATGGCTGTTCTTAGGAAATGCACAGAAGTACTGAGGAGCACAATGCCTGCGACATACTGTCTAACTGAAGGACATCCGTGACACTAAACCCCTCCCAGCGGACAGTGAGCGCCGAGCGGGGGCCGGCTCATCATCCTGGTGAAGGAGTGCTTTGTATGATTCTTGCATCTTTTCTGAAGAATCAAAGTTATTTCAAAGTAAAAGTGAAAGGAGTAGGGGACGAAGGGGACGAAGGTGGGCAGATTCTTCAAAGGACTCTGAAGTGTCACTGACTGACCTGCAGGTGCCAGGTCCCCATCCCTGGGACTACAGCAAACCTGTGGCTCTGAGCAATTCCAAGCGAGGCTGGAGCGCTGGTGCAGGACCAGGCCAGGGCCGCCCCCCTCACTGACCTTCTTATCGGTACCACGCGCTAACCGATTGCCACTGGAGCTCGGCACTGACCTTCTTCATCTTGCGGTCTACGTTCAGATGGCGGCGCCTTTCAATGCGCAGCAGGTCCAGTTCCTCCCGCAGGGCCGCATTCCGCACCAGCTGGATGTCAAAGTGACAGGTGACCTGGGGTGGGGGGAGCAGTAGTCTCTGAGGCCTGGCCTGCCTCCCTCCTCCAGACCCAGCCAAGGAGGGGGCACAGAAACCAGCCTGTCCCCTCTGGGGACCCTGAGAGTGTACTGCCCCACTTGCAGGGCTCTTCGGTCTCCATAACTTGGGATCCTCCGACCCCCTGGGGTCCTTTCTCTTGATACTGCTCCCTTCACCATTTCAGAACCCCACTCCTATGTGCAGTGCTTCCCCACCCCAGAGTTGGGGTCTGGAGAGCAGAGACACCGCCCTCACCCTGTTCAACTGGTCTTCCAGGATCTTGATCCTTCGCTGGACCTTGGCCTTCTCTTTCTGGATGAAGCCGGGAGCCCTGGCGCTCTTGTCCTGGGTGAAGATGCGGGTCTCCCACTCATCGATCTGGAAGACAGGATGGTGTCTGTCCGTTGCCTGGGAGACCTTGAATGGCCAGGCAGACGGCCGACATCCACTGTCCTTCCCACCTCCCACAGTCCCTAATCCTCCTGTGGTTCTGGGGCTCCATATCCAACCATGACCCACCCACCTGCCAGCCCCATGGCCCAGCTCTGGACGACGGCTGGGGCTGGCCTGGGGGGGGGGGGGGGCGCCGTGGTGGAAGCTGAGCCAGCCGGCTCCTGCCCTGGCGTTGGGGGAAGTGCACGAGACGAGACTGAAGGAAAGGATTGCTGCCATCACCACCCCTGCCACAGAGAGGCCGGGAGAATGAGGCCAAACAGAGTGAAGAGGAACCCCAGAGGTGACAACAGGAGCCTGATGACACGAGACCCAGTGGGTCAGTTTGTGCCTAGAGCCAGCTCCCACCCACTTGCCTCCCTTCTGTGCTGTCTTTGCTTAGCTCACTGGGCTCCGAAGGAGGCCTCATTGGGGCAGATCTTTCTTTGTCTGTGTCTCTTCAGGGAGGGTGACGCCTCTGTGCAGCCCACACCAGTGACTTGCTTAACACTGTCTCCTGACCTGTGCTGTTATGGGTTGACTGTGTCAAAAACTCAACCCAAGTCCCAACCCCCAGTAGCTAAGGGTGTGACCTTATTTGGAGGCAGGAACTTTACAGAGATCAACAAGTTAAATCAAGGTCCTTAGGTGGGGGCCAACCCCACCCACTGGTCTTTATGGAAAGGGGACATGTGAACATGGATGAGCGCCCAGGAAGGGCATCATATGAGGACGATGCTGAGGGACGCATCCACAAGCCACTGAACCCACAGGTGCCAGTGGAGAGGAGAGGAGGGGACACTTGCCCTCACTGCCAGGGAACCAGCTCCGCCAACACGTCGGGCCTGGACTTCTGGACTCCAGCGCATGAGACAACCCCTGTCTGCTGTAAGAGTCCCCAACGCAGGGGACAGGAAGCCTGCCACCACCAGCAACCTGGGCCTGCACGGGACACCTCAGAGCACCGCAGCCGCCTCCCGACTCCCCCAGGGGTGTTCAGCTGCTTGAGGAAGACATCGATCAGACCCCAACGCACCACTGGCCCAGGCAGTGCACAGGCTCAGCACCAGCTGGGGCCACTCTCCTTACAGGGACGTCACACCTGTGTGACCCAGGGTTTCAACAGCTGGTGTGATAAAAATAAAACTAAACCCCCAAAGTTTTACCCTTGGGAGAAACTGAGCAAAGGGTATGGGTCATCTCTGCGTTAGTTCTTGCAGCTGCTGTGAATCCACAAGTATCCCCAACTAAATTTTCTACTAAAAACTTCTTTAAATGTTCCATTAAAAAAAAAAAGCAAGTCCATCAATAGATGAACGGATTGAGAAACTGTGGTGTACACACACTGGGGTTCTGCTCAGCTATGAAGGAGGAGGAGGTTGTGGCATTTGCTGGTGAATGGATGGAAATGGAGACCATCGCGCCACATGAAACAAGCCAGACCCAGAAACTCAAAGGTGAGACGCTTCCTCTCATATGTAGCAACTAGAGTATACCAAGGAAAGGAGGGAAGGCCGAAGACGTGAAGATGCGGGAAGATCAGTGTGGAGGCAGCATGGAGGGGCAGGACAGGGGAGGAAACGAGGAACAAATTCTCAGAAACCAATGTTATGTGCATAAATAGATACCCCTCAGGGAACTTCACCTTGCGTATAAGTGAAAAGAAACAACCAAAAACTAATAAGTAGACAAGCGAAAGGAAGTCTAGACCAGGGGTGGGGGGAGGACAGGAAGGAAAAGTGGGGGGATCGCGAACTGAAACCGAGTCCCACACAGGTATGATGTTGTCAGGATGGACCCAACCACTCTGTGTGACTGTCATGGTCCAATAAGAAAAAAAGCAAGTAACGCACGGTACAGGAACAATACAGAGTTCCACAAAATCACCTGGGAATGAAGGCAGCCATGCTCAATCTGACTTCAAGAGTTGGAAAGACTGTTCAGGGCCTGTACACCATCCAGCTGGTAAGGATCCTGACTTTTTTGGGGGGGCGGGGGGCTGGGAATCGAGCCCAGATCCTTGCATGTGCCTTCCAGGCAAGTGCTCTACCACTGAGCCATATTCCCAGCCCAAGAATGAAATATAGATTTTTAAAATTTATGCATATTGTTCTTACAAATGGTTTACATAAAAAGGTTTCTAACCTGTCAGAACACAAACATTTATAAGATTATTTTAAACTAGTTAATAAATACAACTGTCAGCAGTGCACTGTGGGATCACCTAAGACCACTTGGAGAGCGGAGTAGTATCTTTTCAGGAATTCTGTGAGCCAGTTGTTAAATGTTGGTCATATAAAACTGCCCCCTGTATTAGTGTTCTGCTGCTACAGACCATATTAGTCAACTTTCCATTACTATAATGAAATGCCTAGGAAAAATAACTTAAGAAAAAAAGCTTTGTTTAGCTCACACTTCTAGAGATTCTATTCCAAGATCTGGTGGTCCCATTGCTCTGGGCCTCTGGTGAGGACATTATATGACAATAACAAAGGGCACATGTTGGACCAAACCAGTTCATCTTGAGCCAGGAGGCAGAGCAAGAGACGGAGGCCAAGGTACCACAATCCCCTCAAGGGCACACCCCAAAGGAAGGGGATATGCAAAGGTGTCAGTATATTCATCACAGCCAAGATGGGAGGTTAACCTTGTGAAAATTAACAAATGCTACAAGTTAAGGTGCTTTTTACCCTAACGGCTGCTTCCCAGCACACCTCTGGCCGGTAGGGATTTCTCTGGGGGCTAAAAAAATTACTAAGAAATTAAGGGCTCCAGGAATCAACAGAGCTTAGGACCCACCAGCTCAGGAAATTCTCCCCAACATTAGAAAAAAACTCTTACAATTTTTAAAAATATTCATATGGTTTTTATACAGTGGGAGGTAGGAATTTTTTAACAGTTTTATTGAGGTGTAGCTGACATATAGTGTAACTGCCCAGATCTGAGGTATACAAGCTGGATACAGTGGCCACACCTGTAATCCCAGTGGCTCGGGAGGCTGAGACTGTGCCATCCAGAGTTCAAAGCCAGCCTCAGCAAATTTGGGGGTGGGGGGCCTAAGAAACTGAGCTAGACCCTGCCTCAAGATTTTAAAAAGGGTGGGGGTGGGCTGGGAATGTATCTCAGTAGTAAAGAGCCCCCAAGTTCAATCCTCAGTACCAAATGGGGGGAAAAAAGATGTAAGGTGTACAACTGGATGAGTTTTGACATAATCAAGATAGTGACTATATCCACTACCCCCAGGCCTCCCCACCCTCTCACAGTTCTCCCCACGCTCTCCACGGCCCCTGCCCCCAGCTGTCACCCCTGTTTTCTGCACCATTTCCACTTATTTTAATGGAACCATATAGTGCATACTCTTTTAGAAGGACAGGGTCTGGCTTTTCCCACTCAGGGTGATGGATCTGAATTCCCCACCCTGTTGTGGGGTCCACAGTGCATTCTTTGCCCTGGTGAACGCGATTCCACTTTTTGCAGGTCCCACGATGTGTTTGTCCTTTCACCCCCTGATAGACATTTAGGTTGTTTCCAAAATTCAGTTTGGGAGTTTACAAATCAAGTTGAGTCATTATCAATATTCACGTACAATTTCTTGTGTGGACATGGGCTTCCTTTTCTCTTGGGCAAATACCGAGGAGTGGAACCCCTGAATCTTATGATAGATTTAAAAAAAAAAAACTGCCAAACTCCTTTCCCATGGTTGCACCCTGTGTGTCCTCAGAGAGCAGAGTGTGAGAGCCCGTCCCCTTGAGGCATCACCCTGTTCACCACGCTGCCTCAATCCTTAAGTCCCAAGTCCTCGATTCTGCAGATACTGCAACAAAATCCACACAGGAGCATTCAAATAGGTGGGAACTTCCCATGCTCCAGAGCTTAGGTATGAGAACACTAAAGTCCTCATGATCGTTATATTTACATATTTATATAATTATGTATCATATACTGTATTTTCGTTTTTATAGATGCTCCACTTCTGGGGCAATGGGTTCAGTGAAATTCATTTCCTTCCTAGTGTATCACTTTTGTTCAAGGGCAGTGTGGCCTGTTTCTGAATTGTATGTAAGATGAAATAATGCTGCATGTATGTTTGATGTCTTACTTCCTTCATTCAATTGTTATTTACATTCATACATGTTACTGTCCCTAATCAAAATCCATTTGTTTTTCATGGTTGTATACTATTTCATTACACAAACATACCACATTTCTTTACTCATCTAAAGGCTGATGGACCCAGGCTGGCCAGTATGGGAATGCTCCTACCAACATTCTCTTATATGAGTCCTGGCTACAGGACTCAGATGTGGAATTTATGGGTGATTATGGGTGATTGTGGGTGATGAGGAGGAAGGTCAACAACAGATCTAAACCCCTTTTCTGTGGGCGAATGACTGGTTGACTCTCTCCCAACACTGCTCCCATGGAGTCAGACGGGGCTAAGGCTAGCTGGGTCCCCAGGTAATGATGTTTAATATAAAAAATGACACCCAGGGGGCTGGGGATGTGGCTCAGTGGCAGAGCACTTGCCTAACATGTGTGAGGGACTGGGTTCGATTCTCAGCACCACATAAAAATAAGTAAGATAAAGGTATCGTGTCCACCTACAACTTAACAACACCCAGCCACCACACAGCATCACCAACTGGCCATGCTCCTGCTGCCAGCTGAGAGGCCCTCACAGGACGCACTGCCTCCCGTCCTCCACCCCTCCAGGCAGCTAAGTTCCAAGGGCCACACTAGAACCTAGTGGCCCCATGATGTGAATGCCAGGCTGAGCCCAAGCCCCTCGTGGTGATCAGGCCAAGAGGATGGCCCTGGGTCAGAGTCCATCTTCAAATTTCATAGATAACGGGGGAGGGTTGTGACAACTTACACCCCCACTGATTAGCAAGTGTCCCCACTGCTCCTTCACCCCAAAATGATGCTTTTATTCAGACGTCAGTGTTTGAAGGCCTGGTGTGTTTCAGGATGCCTCACTGTGGTCTTAACGAGCTTCCTCTGATTACTTATAATCCCCATGTTTACTGAGCATCCACATTTCTTATTTTGTGGTGTGTCAGCTTTGACTGTTTTTGTAACTGCACTGATTCTTAATGACATGAAGAAGTCCCTCACAGGTCCTTGGTGCTAGTCCTTGGTTAGCTGTGAGCTGCAGATAACCACTCCTACCCCCAGACTTCCTGGGCCTGCTCTTTATGGTTTCTCTGGATAAACAGAATTTATCCATTTTAATGTCATGGAATGTATCCATCTTTCCCTTTAGAAGTAGAGGTTTCTGTCATTTCTTTAAGAAATCTTTCCCACCCTCACACAATTATATCTCTCTGATCATCTGAAATTAATTAGGAAAATGTGAGGTCAGGGTCTGATTTCATCTCATAATTTTTATGGATATTCAATTTTCCAGCACCATTATTGGAGTTCTATTTCTCTGAAGTTATAGATCAAACGTTCACATACGCACAGCTCTCTTTCAGGGACCTCTGGGCGGGGAGTGGGTATTGAACCCAGTGGCTCTTTGCCACTGAGCCACATCCCCAGCCTTTTTATTTTTGATTTTGAGACAAGGTCTCACTAAATTGCTGTGGCTGTCCTTGAACTTGAACTCCTGCCTCAGCCTCCTGAGTCACTGGGATTACAGTGCGCCACTGGCTGGCTTCTTTCAGGGACCTCTATTTTCTCTCATTGATCCGTTGGATTAGCTAGTTACTAGAGCTTTACGATCAATTTTGATAACTGATGGGGCGAATCCTCCCACATTCCTCCTCTTCTTCTAAGTAAACCTTAGTTATCTTGTCCTTTGCACTTCCATATAGACTTTAGAATCTGCTTGTCAATCACACCTGTAAAGAATAGCAACAAGGCTGGGGGGTAACTGAGTGAGCACTTGCTCAGCAGGCATTAGGCCTGGGTTTGATTGCAGCACTGCAGACCACTATCACCATCATCTTTTTGATTGGGATCATATTACATCTATAGATCAATTTGCAAGAACTAACATTTTACAACACACTCTTTCAATCCATGAATGTGGTATACCTCTACATTTATTAAATGTTTCTCTAATATCCTTCAATACAATTTCACAATTTAGTCCATAGAGGTCATGCACACTTTTATTAGATGTCTTCCTAAGGACTTCTTTTGGCTATTATAAATGTCTTTTTTTTTTTTTTTGGTACTGGGGATTGAACTCAGGGGTGCTTCATCATTAAACCACATCTCCAGCCCTTTTTATTTTTTATTTTGAGAGAGGGTCTCCCTAAGTTGGTGAGGGCCTCCCTAAATTGCTGAGGCTGACCTCAAACTTGTGATCCTCCTGCCTCAGCCTCCAGAGTCACTGGGATCAAAGGTGTGTACCACCGCATCTGGCCTTATTTTATTTTCTAATAGTTATTGCTGTTACAGGAAATTACAATTGCCTTTGCATATCAATAACTTTATATCCAGCCCATTGTTAAAAGACCTCATTAATTACAAGTTAGCCCTAGATTCTTGGGATCTTCTATGTACATAAATATGTCATCTATAAATAATGACAGCTTTATGTCTTTCTCCCCAATCTTTTTATCCATTTTATTTTCCTTGCTTTTTTTTTTCTTCTTCTTTTCTCTCTTTCTTCTTCTATACTGGATAGGACCTCCCTAGAGTGCAATGTTAAACACAACTGGTGCCACCTGACAGCCTGGTATTGCTACTAATCTCAAAGGGATCCTCTTATTTTTCCATGTGTTACTGTCAAATATGATATCTATTGTAGATGTTTTCGATGTTTTTTCCCTAGTTTGCTTAAGAGTTTTATTGCATTTTTTCCCAGCACGGGGGATTGAACCCACTACCTCACAAATGCTGGGCAAATGCCCTGCCAGTACTGAGCCATGGCCACAGTCCTTGCTTAATATTTTTAACCTTCAATGTCTGTTGAATTTTATCACAGAATGTTTTGTCTGCATAATGTGGTAAATTTAGAAAATGAGAGTAAGCATCACAAACAGTGTTGATGCTCGCTGGGCGTGTGGCACACACCTATAATCCCAGAGGCTTGGGGGCTGAGACAGGAGGATCGTGAGTTCAAAGCCGGCCTCAGCAACAGCAAGGCGCTAAGCAACTCAGTGAGACCCTGTCTCTTATAAAATACAAATAGGGCTGGGGATGGGGCTCAGTGGTGGAGTGCCCTGAGTCAATCCTCAGTACCCGCCCCCCTCAAGAAACAGTGTTGCTGAATTCACATGGCAAATTGAGCAGACACAAGTCTTATAAAAGTAACAGTAATAAATTAAAAACTTTTTCAATTGGCCCTTCAACACATAGTTTGAGAAATTCTGAGAATCTCCACTCGTAAAAAATCTAACTGGAGAGGCTGGGGTTGTGGTACAATGGTAGAGCATTTGCCTGGCATGCGTGAGTCACTGAGTTCGATCCCCAGCACCACTTAAAAATAAAAACAAATAAAAAAAAGGTATTGTGTCCATCTTAAAAAAATCTAACTGGAGACTAATTTTACATTTTTCTTTGCCAGGAAAGCTCGTCTATTCGCTTGTTGATGATATTTTCACTGGTGTAGTAGTTTAAGTTGACTTTTCTCCTTTGGCAGTGAAATTATAATCTTTCTTTCTTTATCATTTTTTTTTTTGTGTGTGTGTGTGTATGTGTGCGTGTGTGTTGCTGAGGACTGAACTCACTGTTTTCTGCCACTGTTTTTTTAGGGATCAGCTGTCTAGCTGAGCATGGGTAAATGCCTGTAATCCCAGCAAGTCAGGAGGCTGAAGCAGGAGGATCACAAGGTCAAGCCCAGCCTCAGCAATATGGAAGACCCTAAGGAACTTAGCAAGATTCTTTCTCAAAACGAAGAACAAAAGGGGCTGGGGATGTGGGTTCATTCCCCAGTACCATAGAAAGAAGGAAGGAAGGAAGGAAGGAATCAGCTATAGGTCTAGCTATGGTTCCTCTGAAAAAGTTGTTTTCTGGCTACTTTTACATCCTTTCTTGACCTTGTGTGTGTACTGGCCAGTTCTCTACTGTGGGACCCTAACCCCTATCTGACCTGCAGTTCTCCATAATCAAGTTTCTTAGGGCAAAAGAATCCATGGGATCAAAATAAGCAGATCATCCTGCTTGGACCTGACTCTGCTGAGTTTCCATGGACGACTAAAGAAAGCAACTGAAGCAGACACACCCACTGAGCCCCTGAACTTCACGAAACAGCCACAAGCCTAAAGTGAAAACCAGAATTCAGCTTCCAAAAGGCAGTCAGTGGTATCAAGGGCTGTCCAAACAGACCAACTGAAATTCAAATGGAATCAAACCATGAACCATGTGATAGACACAGTCAGGATCACTGAAGGCATCTGTGTCCTAATTCCTGTAACCTGTGAATACGATGTTACCTTCAACAGCCAAAAGGACTTTGTGGATGTGATAAAGTTGAGGATCTGGACATGGGGAAATTAGCCTAGAAAAATCACGTTGTTTGCAAGGACAAGTAGCTGATCTCGGTGGAGCAATTTGATCAGAGGATCCAAAAACATGAAAAGGGGAGGCATGAGAGTCAGAGAAAGAGAGTGGTTAAGAAAAGCAGGGCTGGGGTGATACAGCCCAGAAAAAGACTCAACCCGCCACTGCCAGCTTTGAAGGAGGAGGAAGGGGTCACGAACCAAAGGATACAGTGGACTCCAGGAGCTTTAAAAAGTATGGAAACAGATTAACCCTGAAGCCCGCAGAAAATGCAGCCCTGACAACACCCTGCTTTTAGACCAGTAAGACCCCTGCAGACTTCAGACGTCCAGGGCTGCCATGTTCTGTGGTCATTGTTACAGCAGCAATAAGAAACTAATACAGACCACCACACAGGAGCAATTTCCAAACTCCCATTTGTGAGTCAATGATGTGCAAGAAAACATTTGTTCTAGACAAACAGTGCTCTTTAATCAAAAGTAGGTGAGAAATACCAGGATGAATCCCTTGTAGAATAAAGTAAATATTCCTTGGTGTCACTTCTGTTTCAGATATGTATGTGTGTGTTTTTATCTGTATGCATCTGGGTGCGTACAAACTGTATCACAATGAGTCACAGTCTTAAAAACTTGAAAGGACGCTAGCCTAGAAAAATCACATTGTTTGGGAGGACAAGTAGCAAGGACTTGGGGTGACAGATTAGAAATCTGACTAAATTCTACTATATTCCATCATCCTATTTTTGCAAATGAAAAAACTGGGGCCCCGAGAGGTGAAGACTTTCCATGGCCACTCAGCCCTGATGTGGCAGAACTGGGATTCCCATGCAGGTCTGCTGGCTCAGGAGAGCCTGTCCCAGTGAACAGCACCAGCCCCTCCTCCCACCTTGAATATCTAGGATTGTGCAAAGCACCAAACCCCCATATTCCCAATGACCAAAACTCCATCGGGTGGATGCTTTTGAAGGCCCCATTTTTCAGATGAGGAAGCTAAGGTTCAGGAGGTTACAACTGTGCCCTGAGAAGGATCCACAGAGCCTGCTCTCGGCACCCACCTGCTTGTCCAGGGCCTTCATCTGCTCCTGCAGCTCCTCCACCTTGGCCTGAGCCCGCGCCTTGCACTTAAGCAGGTGGTCCATGCTCTCCAGCCGCTCATTGTCCCGCAGCCTCTTGACTTGGCTCTGGGCCACGCTGATCTGCATCTGGAGCTTGGCCCGCACCTGCTCCAGGCGCTGGATCTCCTCGCTGCCCAGGCAGGGAGGTGGAGGAGAGGCCAGCGAGGGGGCAAAGCTCAGCCTCTCTAAGGCAATCCCGAGCTCCAGTCCTCCCCGCTCAGACCAGCCCTTTTTATACCCTCTCCCCAGACCGGGGCCCAGGCTCTCAGCTCACAGTTGCTTGTTGATGCGCTGGTGGACTTCCTTGCTGTAGGTCCGCCTTTCCCCTTCCATCACCTTGCACTGTCGCTGCAACCTGCTCAGCTCCCAATCCACTGAGGGTGGGACCAAGCAAGGGACTCAACATGGACCTGAGCCAGCAGCCCCCTTCTCCCCAGGACCTGGAATCGTGGTCTCTCTGGGGTCTCACAAACTGCAAATGAACTGCAGACCCAGCCGCCAACTCTCTACTAGGACTACATCTCAGTTCCTGTACCCTCCGGCTTCCAGGTCCATTCATACTCCCTGTACCCAAGCTATACTCCTTCTTTCCCCTGAACCCACTCCACCGGAAGTTTGGACACTTATCTGTTTTACCACTAGAGGGCGCTCCTAGAACACCTCTTGGACCTCTGGAACCTGAGGCACCCTACAAGGGACTTGGGAAAGCTCGGGCTCCATCCTCCCTTCCAGCAGGAACCACAGTAGCCCTCCGCCCCATTCTCCTGCCGCCTCACGCTGTCCGCTGGTCCCTTAGGCTCCGCTTCATCCCTTCCTGCTTGAATCATCATCGGTCTCCTTCACAACCTCCATTTACAGTCCTCAGGGTCTTTTAACACCCAGAGTAGACCCTGGCCCTCCCATGCTCAAGGGCCTCCCAAGGCACAGTATGTACAGGACAAAGTCCTAGCTCCTCGGTCTGGCACTCGAGGTCCCATATGACCTGAGTCTGCCCATCTCTCCAGTCTTTTCCACCACCTCCCCACCTCCCAAGACCCAATGCTTCTTCACCAGGAGCACTTCTGTCCCCACAGATATTTGACAATATCTGGAGACATTTTTTTATTGCTACAACTTGGGCTGGGTATGCTACTGACATCTCATGAATAGAAGCCAGAGATGGCTTTTGGTATTCTGTAACGCACAGGATATTCCTAACGACAAAGAACTCTCCTACTAGAGGTGTCAACAGTTTCAAGAGAAATTCTTCTCGGGGCACCCCGTTGTTCTCTCTGCAGAAACGCCCTTCCCTGCCTTCTCCCCTGAGCAATCCTTGGGAGATGTTCTGGGCCTCACTCAAATTTCTGCAGCTGCCAATCTTCCTGGCGCACCCCGCTGCTCGGGCCTGCCCACCCCCCATCTGCCGGGTGCTACTTCCAGTCGCAAGCATGCCTGTTTTCCCACTAGAGGGCGCTCCTGGAGCTCGACCCGGGACCTGGAGCTTGGGGAAGCTAAGGACAGGAAAAGGATGAGTGGGAAAAAGAAAGAATGTATGAATTACTCATTCCCTCCAGGAAGGACTCGCTTCCATCCTCGGAGCGGTTGCTCTTTGCAGAGAGTTCCAAAGGCATCTTGGCCAAAGAAGGCGGGGCTCCTGTCGGAATTAACACCACATCCTTCAGAAAGCAGGCAGTCAAGTGCCGGGAGGGGGGGGCGGCGAATTGCTAGGGACTGGGATTTGGAAGAGGAAGACACTAGAACCGCTCTGACCTTTCTCTTGAGTCTCAGTTCCTCCCAGGGACCGGATGGGTATATCTCTCAGGCTGGGACCCCACACCACTCCTGACCTCCCCATCTCTCACATTCTTGGACTTGCGTGCCAGGGCTCACTAGCGCAAGGGGACAGGTCCCGTGAGCTCTCCGTATCTCCGAGGACAGAGCTGCATGGTCAAAGGAGGGGGAGCCCGGGTCGGCGGTGGGGTCAGGATATAAGGCCCCAGCCCTACCTGCTGGAGTGCCCGACCTGTGTCCTTAGTGCTCTAAGCTCACTGTTGTGATCACTGTTGTGATCTGGTTACTGGGGAGATAAGGGACCAATGAGGCCAGAGGACAGCGTCCTGGGAGGGACCAAGGTAGCGGCGTAGAATCTAGGTGGGGAGGAAGGGCGGGGGAGCGGAGGAGGTGGTGAGTGAGCCACTTGTGGGGCTCCCCGGGGCTTAGACTGACGGCTTCAGGGCCTGCGGGGGCTGGGCTGGGAGAGTCAGGGAGGAGTGGGACTGAGAAGGTCCAGGGCTTCGGGGTGGGTGAGGGGAGGAGCACGGGCACTTGTCAAAGGTGGGGCTGTCAGGGACCACAGGGAAGACCGGGGCCTGTAAAGGGCGGGGCGGGGGCGGGGCCAGGGCCTGCGGTGGGCGGGGCCAGGGCGGTATTGAAAGGGCGGGGCGTTAAGGGTGTTCCGAGGAGCTGAGTACTTAAGGGGCGGAGCCGCGAGCGGCTGCCAAACGTCCTGCGAAAAACGAGGGAGGGTTGGGCTACCCGGGAGGCGCTAGAACCCGGAGGGCCCTTGGGAGGTCAGGACGGTCCGTGTGGGGAGGGGACCTTGGGGTTGTGAGGGTCTGAGGGATGTCGCGGGCCTGTGAGCCGCGGACTGTGTTTCCGGGAAGGAGAGGCAGTAGTTGAAAGATCCTAGAGAGAAACGTCTGGAAGGCTTTAGGGCTAGACTGAGGTCCTTTGGGGCCGGTCGGAGAAACACGCGCCTCAGGCTGATTAAGGCCACGTTATTTTGAGACTTCATTAGCAAGGAGGCGGTGCCAAAGCCGGGAATTGTGGCGGGGGCGAGCGCTCACCGCTGCCTTAGGTCCTCGCAGAAACTCGCTACGCATGCGTGGCCAACGGCTTCCAAAGAAGCCGCCAAAAGCCCTTGGCCACCTACCGCGTCTGCGCATTGGGAGGCGGAAGTGGGCGGGACCTCAGCGCGGCCGCCTTTGCATCATCTGGCCACGCCCCTCTTGATCACACCCTCTTTCCGCAGGACATGCCCCCTCCGCAGCCAGCTGCTGCCCACATGGGCCTCCCTCGCGGGCGGCCAGTGGGCGCCTCTCCTGCAGGCAGGGTGTGCCCGACGCCTGCGGTTTCCTGTGGGAGGAAACGGCTCGCGGACGCTCAGCTCAGCTCGTATCCTCAGAGGCACGGAAGGGGGAGATCCCGCCACCTCTCTCGCTTCCCAATTCTCGCCTTCCACAGAGGCCCACCTACCCTCACCCCAAAAACACCCTCCAGAGTACCTAAGTCCAGCTCTGATCCAACCCAGGGAACCTGACTTGGAGTGCGAGGGCTGTTTCTCAGGGCTCTTTTCAATTTACGTCTGCCTCCTCCGTGAAGCCCTACTCCTCCCAAGACCTGGGGCGGGGCTGTACTCCCAGAGGAGCACATGACACTCTCCTCCAACCCATAAGTTTTCCCTCAGTGACCTAGACTTTTAAACTTCCTTGAGAATTCAGTCCCAGTCTCCATCCTCATGAATTTAAGTTTGGGATTCCTTATTTTCCTCCCCAAAAGATTCTCAATTTTGGATTCCAGACTTTAGCCTTGGGACCCAATGGACCCAAAAATTTGCTCTTTCACTGGGCGTGGTGGCGCACACCTATAATCCAGCGACTTGGAGACTGAGGCAGAAAGATCACAAGTTCAAAGCCAGCTCAGCAACTCAGCAAGGCTCTAAGCAACTGTCTCAAAAAAAAAAAAAAATTAAAAGGGCTGGGATGTAGCTCAGTGGTTAAGCACCCATAAAAATAAAACAATTTACTCTGTCGCTGGACCCTGAATTTTTCAGGGTCTGCCTGAATCCACTCAGGACCCAGGGCCTGATGTAAGTAGCAGGACATACAGTAACAGTGCTCACTGTGTGCCCAGCATTTCTCTAAGACCTATACTTTGATGTATTTACTATCATCCCTATTTACAGGTGAAGAAACTGAGGCATGGAGGGGTTATAGTAACTGCTCAGAATCACACAATGAGTAAAGCAGCTTGGATTTGGATCCAGCCACTCTGGCTCTAAAGTCTGTGTTATAATGGTACCCCAGCTTCTGGGTCTTCAGATACCCACCCAAGCACTGAATTGTAAGACTCTCATCTCCTCAGGGAGCCCAAATCAACACACCCAGCTCTGGCCCCATCTGATACCAGACATGTCAGCATCCATTCCCCAACTTTCAATTCATTAGGACCCTGACACTTGGTCCCCTTCAAAGAGATCCAGGTCCACAGTAGCAATCACCCACACACACCCTAATTCAGTATCCGAACAGTAGACAATAATAATAGTTAACATTAAGTCCCTGGTGCCAGAGTTCTGTTAAAGCCCTCTAGTGGCTTCCCACTGCACTTAGAATAAAATACAAACTCCTCCCTTGGTCTTCAAGGGTACCCTTTGATTCCCTTCCCACCATTCCCTCTGGCTCCCTTTGCTCCAGCCACACTGGCCCTTCTGTCTGTTGCCCAAACAACTGGAGCTTGTTCTTAAAGCCTTTGTACTTCCGCTTCTGCCTAGCACTCAAATGATTTCTGTCTTTGGGTCTCAGAGTAAATGTCACCTCCTCCAAGATGCCTTCCCTGATTACCTGTTTCAGAGAGCCTCCCCTCATCCAGTCATTATCTCCATTGCTCAATTTCGGTCAAAGCACTTATCACTATCAAATTTGTCTTCCTCACTGGTATGTTTCTTTTTATTGCCCATCTCCCTCTACTAGAAGACAAGCTCCACACTATTCATGTCTAATTTATTTATTATTGATTTCTGCTTCACAGGAAATGTTCAATAAACGTTTGGTGAAGGAAGACGCGTCTCCAGTGTGTCAGTGTACTGGCATTACCTTATTCATTCAGAACTAGAAGAATTACTGTCATCAGTTTATTAGCTTGCTGTCAGCATGATGATTCCCACTACACAGATTAGGAAAGTGAGGCTCAGAGAAATGAAATAAGTGGCCAAGATTACCCAGTCAGGAAATGAGGACACTGGGATTCTTAACTTCCCCCCCACCCCCTGCAGAGTTTAACAGGGGCTCCTCTGACCCTCACCACAGAGCCAAGTCCACCAGTCCCATGCCCAATCCCAGTCATAGGAATCTGCCTCCTCCCAGGCCTCCTGCCCTCCCATCATCCAGCCCCAAAGTCCATCAAGGACACAGGACGACGGACCCCAGGACAAAACTCAGAGTCCAGGAGGCCTGAGAATCGGACCCTCCCACCCTGATGTCTGCCCCAAGGGCCTTCACATCTCAATCCTGGGAGGGAGCCCCAGAGGATGCCCGTCAGGGGGCACTGGGCAGGGGTTCCTCTCAGGGAATTCCCTCTCAGGGGTTCCTCCCACTGGCTGCAGACCTCAGCTGGGTGCGGTGAGGGTGGGTATAAAAGGGTCAGTATATATTGAGAGGAGCAGAGAAGAGAGGGAAAGAGGGTTAGGCAGGGAGACGGAGAGAAAGAGAGAGAGAGGTGGGGAGAAGGAGGGAACCCGACGGAGGAGAAAGCGAGGGAGGGAGGGAGGGAGGCGGCGAGGGAGGCGGGGGCCTCGAGAGGGTGGAAGGAGGGAGGAGAAGGGCGGGGCACGGAGGCCCGAGCGAGGGACTAGACTCCAACTCTTGACTTTTTCCGCGGCTCTCGGTAAGTTTCCAGTCCGTTATTCGAGCTGGGATTTCTTTATTTACTTGGGAGTGCAGCAGGTTGGGAAAGACACCCCCAGACAGCGAGAGACCCCCCACTCTCGCCTCCCCGTGGATACTCTTGTAATTTAAGAAAGGGTCTCAGCACTTGGGGTAGAGACTCAGGAAGGGGTGGGGCCGGCATGGATTTGGGGGTCTGCTGGGGAGAGTCCCCGACAGGAAAGCATCCTGCAGTTTCTCCCCAGGGCTGTCCACTCTCCCCGAGGGCCCGAGATCAAGGGGTGCGTGCGGACACCTCAGTCTGCGGGACCTCCAGGCCCCCATTTCTGGACACTCCAGTGTGCTGGGAGGCTGCTCCTTCCTCTCCAGCCTCACTCTCCCGGCCCTTCTCATCCATCTTCCCCAGAAGGTGTCTGGCAGGCACCAGTCTGGCAGCAGGGTGGGGTGAGGACCTCGTGGACATAGCCAGGGGCTGGGGTTTCCCTGGTGCTTGGAGGCAGAGGGGTGGATGAGTCACCAGATGAGTCACCCGGTCCCCCTCCTCCCCACCCCAGGAGGGGAGTGGTGTGAGTCAAGGATGCCTGTCTCCTAGCTCCTGATAAATGGAGGAGTGGGGGTCAACTTGAATTTTCATAAGCTGACCCATACGTCCCCAGGGACAGGGATCTGAGGAGACAGGGGCCACACTGCTAGTCTTACTCATTCCAGCACCCAGGACCTGACGCTGGCATTCTCCAGCCCCTGGGAAACGCAGGAGACCAGAGCTCAACTGCCTCCTCCCTGAGGAGTCCAGACCCCAGCCCTCCCCGCTCAGACCCGGGGGTCCAGACCCTAACCTTCTCCCTCAGGATTGGGGTGTCTCATCCGCCTGGGTACCAGCCTCTTAAGCTTCCATCTCCTGACTACCCACTCCCCAGGCTTCCACCACAGCCATGTCGCTCCTCCTGCTGGTTGTCTCTGCCCTTCACATCCTCATTCTCATCCTACTTTTTGTGGCCACTTTGGACAAGGTAAGCCTTCTTGGAGGCGGGGCCTCCCGTTCTCCTGCAGACAAGCCACGCCCCTTCTCTAAAACCACTCTGGCGCTGCCCGCTTTTTCTAGTCTCCACGCCCTCTCCTACTCTACCCGTGCCCTCCCCACCCCCCTCACACCTTGCTCTTTTCCTAATCCTTCCTAGGGTCCTCCCGACCCCGCCCATCCTCCCCTCCTAACTCCGCCCTTTCTCCGTCCCAGTCTTGGTGGACTCTACCAGGAAAGGAGTCCCTGAATCTCTGGTATGACTGCACGTGGAACAACGGCACCAAAACATGGGCCTGCAGTAATGTTAGTGAGAATGGTAAGGACTGAGGGGTGGGGGCCCCAAGCCTCCTCCCCACTCTCGGACAGAGGATTGAGAACCCCTAAAGTGGGATTGGGCTGGACAGGGCCCTGCGGCTGAGTGGGTGGGGTTGAAGCGTGCCCACTGGTCTGGAAAGCGAGATGAGTTGCTCCTGGATTCTAAAGAGGTTGGTCTAAAAGTCCCCTCCTTATGATTCAGGAAGGGTGAACTCCACATGCTATAGGTTTAGGGAACGGGGAGACAGTTCCCCTAATTCTGAGAAGATACTGTTTCCAAAGTTTTAAGGAGATGGAGATGGTGTCCTGAATGGAGCTTGGGACCAATTTGTCCAGATTCCAAGGAGGTGGAACATTAAGTTTCTTGAAGGGTGGGACCACGAGAACCTGAAAGTTTCACCCATCTAAAAGTGAAAGAGGTGGGGCTGGGATGTGGCTCAATGGTGGAGGCTTGCTTTTCCCCTAAGATCAAAGCAAATGGTTTGCCCTCATTTCTATTCAGTGTTGTACTGGAGTTAGCTAAGGCAAGAAAATGAAATGAAAGGAATTAGTAAAAAGCATCTCACTGGAAATGTGGCTCAGTGGTAGAGCACTTGTGTAGTAAAAAGCATCTCTATTCCTAGCAGACATGTTTGTTTGTGTAGAAAAATCCTTCTAAAATCTGCAAAGTGACCACTAGACTTGATAAGGAATTTAGTAAGGTCACAGGGTCATGTAAGTATACTAAGTATCTAAACTCACATGGCTCCTCATGGGAGAGGGGGACAGAGGAGGGGACAGGGCAAATGATTAGCAAACAGAAAGTGGGACCAGTGATTTCCACCTCTCTCTTCTCCTTCCTGCAGGCTGGCTGAAGGCGGTGCAGGTGCTCATGGTGCTTTCCCTCATCCTCTGCTGTCTGTCCTTCATCCTGTTCATGTTCCAGCTCTACACCATGCGGAGAGGAGGGCTCTTCTATGCCACTGGCCTGTGTCAACTTTGTACCAGTGAGCATCCCCCATTTTCCCTCCCTACTTGGGGCACTGAGGGGAAGGATGGAAAGTGTCAGGATGCCTGGGGCCCAGGGACACCTGGTGAAAGAACAATTTCCAACATTCCAAGAACCACCTGAAGTGTCTCAGTGAACTGCCTCTCTGCCCCCAGGGCTGATGGGAGTTGTAGTTCTCAGTGACAGCACTGGGTTTGCCCTGAGTCATGGGGGGTGCTGGTATGAGGGAATTTAGAGGTTCAAGGAGCCAGAGGATGGGTAAATAATTTGGGTCTTAGGGATGAGGTATAGCTAATGAATACCCCAAAGGGGAGCTGGAGATCACAATGGTAATTGCATCATTTCAGCCAGCTGTTATTTCTGGTGTAACTACCCTGTGTCAGACATTTAAGGGAGTTTTATTTCCTTTTTTTTTACTTAAGGTGCAAAGAGCTAAATTAATCATAGTCCCTGGCTTTCAAAATATTATCTTCCTGAGTTCCTGCAAAGCCCCGCTCTTGTTTTATTAATTCACTGTTGCATGCTAGGGTTGTAAAACACACACACTCAGAAAATTTCATGGATGGATGGATGGACAGGTGGATATGATCGTCCCATTCTATGGAGAAGCAAATAGGAGCCAGAAATTAAATTAGTTGCCAAGGCCCCTCAGTAGCTCCATTGCCTGGCGCTGGCGGAGACAGCCATGACCTCAGCAGCAGCAGGCGGCGGTGTACCCACCCCCTGGCAGTCAGGAAGTCTGTGGACACAACATGACTCCTCTTCCCTTTTCCCGCAGGCGTGGCAGTGTTCACCGGGGCCCTGATCTACGCCATTCACGCGGAGGAGATCCTGGCGAAGCACCCGCGTGGAGGCAGCTTCGGCTACTGCTTCGCCCTGGCCTGGGTGGCCTTCCCCCTCGCCCTGGTCAGCGGCATCATCTACATCCACCTGCGAAAGCGGGAGTGACCGCCAGCCCCGGCCCCTCGCCTCGCCCGGAAGCCCCCAGCGTAATAAAAGTGTTTAACCGCGGCTTCTGCCATTGCCTCCTTCCTTCTTCCTGGCGCCTTCAGGGCCCCGGTGCACACACCTGCCCTCCTGTACCAGGCGGACCCAACTCAGCCGCCCCACCTCCGAATGCCAGTCTCCCAGCCCACAGCCCCTTGCCTCCTGGAAACCAGCGCCCTTTTGCTCCCACAGATTCAAGAGCCAGGTCCTCCCCTCTTGGACCCAGAACCCGTAACGGGCACCCGAGTTTAGAGAGTTTAGACCTTCAGGCACGTCCAGGAAGAACCAGCAATCTGAGTCCCCAGCAAATCCTGTCAGGAATCACAAGCCTGGAGCCACTGTCCTCTCTGCTGGCTCAAGCTTATGTCTCTTGGTGCTCACTCTCTGGGGCCCACCACGCTCCTTCTAAACTGTTTAATTTTTAAATTTTATTTATTTATTTTTTAAGTTGCAGATGGTCACTGTTAGAGTCTGTAAACAAGTCAAAATAACACTCTAACAGGTCACAATACCTTTATTTAGTTAGTTTTTTGTTTGTTTGTTTTTGTTTTTTGTCGTGCTGGAGATGGAACCCAGTGCCTGGCACATGCTGGGCAAGCACTCTACCACTGAGCCACAACCCAGCGCCTTGTGGATCTTTTTTTAACTCTCTCTCTAATGCTCCCTCTGGGAGGAGTTTTTCGTTTTCCCTGTTAGAAACCAGCCTCCCTCTCCTGTCTAGGACCCAACCCTTCCTCTTTCCCCCCTTTCCCCAAAGACTACCTAGTTGTTAACATCTTAGTAAATATCAGAGGGCACACCCCTCCTTCTGGCTGACCTGGTCCCACAGTTGGACACTGGCATGGACTGGACTCCACAGCCACCTTTCTCCTGGCTGTGGGGACAATCTGCACAACTGCACTTGACCACCCTATCTCCCTGTTCATGAGACCCAGACGCAAACCATGGCTTCCCCCCAGGAACCGGTCTAAGATCCTCTTCTGTCACCCACAAATCCAGTCTCTACAACTACAGCTTCCTCTGTCCAGGAACCATCCGCACGCACTAGTATCCCTCCAAGACCCAGAGTCCATCCTTTCCAGGATTCTAATACCACCCCTCGTTCCCAACTCCTGCAGCCACCCTACTCAGCCAGATGTATTAAACATGATTTATTCCTCTGGGAGACAGGAGAGAAACTGACAGATAATAAATATTGCACTGGGCACTGGCGGTGGGGAAATCCAGGCAGAGGTAGTTTCTATAGAAAGGGTGAAGGACCCAGGTGAGGAAGGCACCTGAGGCTGTTGGGAGCCTAAGTTTGGGGTGGGGGTGGTCTTCCAGGCCCACAGCTTCTGCCTGGCACCAGGTTCCCAACCCCTTCATCCAGGACACCCTGGTCAGCAGTTGACCAGATGGCCCACCACACAGCAGCAATGGACACAAAGAGCAGGTTCCTCTGGAAATTCTGATTGGTTGGTTCTCTGCAGACAACTGGCTGCGCAAAACTGATGGTGCCCAGCAGCTGTCATTGGCTGTTTGCCAGGGGGCGGGGCCAAACGGCTGTCACTGGCTGCGGCCTGGAGCCCCGCCCAGGTGTACTTGGTGGGCAGTTCCCCCCAGGGAGGCTAAGAAGACAGCGATATATAGCCTCGGGAGGGCACGGCTTCCACAGCTGGGCCTGGGAGTTCATCGAAGCCAGAGCTGAACAGCTGTGATTGGCCGACACCTCATCTCCTCAGCCTCACCACATTTGGATGTTCCGGGGGTGGGACTAAGAAATGCAACTGAAGGGAGCTAAATAGCTGTGATAGGCTGTTCACGAGAAGCCGGGCTGCCTAGCAACTGCAGCTGCCTTGGTTGGCTGATTTAAGTATACAGAGTAGCAAAAATAATAGCCTGTCAGTAACTGGAAGTTGGAGAATGACACAGTGTCCGTGATTGACAGCTTGGCATGGAGGAGGCGGGTCTTGGTTCCTAGCCAGGTGGCAGGCAGGACAGGGCGGGGAGGGTGCAGTCAGTTGTTGCTACTACTGGGTGCGGCCTGGGAGGACTCAGAAGTGACTGGAGCTAACGGGTCTAGTTTGGGGAAACCCGGGGGAGGGTACAGCCCCATACTGGGGGTCAGGGCTTGCAGGTGGGCCAGGGCCCTAGATCCGTTGAAGGCCACTTCATAGCCTGACTGGGCCAGAAGCCATTTCTCCACCTCTAACTGGAGCCACCTGGAGGTCTCTGCAGGGGAACAGGCAGGTGTGAGGTCAGACTGGGACCAGCAAGGGCTAGGAGGGGCCAGCAGGGGGAGCCCAGGTCTGGGAAAGCCTAGGGGTACACTGGAAGGGGAATGGAACAGGCACAGGACCCTCATCTGGAGAGAAGCCAGGGCCTCATGCAAGGAAGACGAGTGCAGGTGTCCTGACGGGGACCACCTGGGGCCTACACAGGGTGGGGACCAAGTCTGCAGGAGTGTGGGCTCATGTACAGTAAAGAATGCAGAAGAGGGGCCACTGGTCCAGGACCCTCATGCAGACGGAGGTCAAGAGAGGCAGGTCAGGGTTGGGCTCGGGGTCCTGTCTGCTGAAGGACAGGGTCTCCTTGAAAATCTGTCAGGTTTACCAGCACTGGGCGCTGGAGGGAGAGTAGGTGGCATGCAGATGGTGTCTCCCTGGGGCGGGGGCCACAGAGGGACAGGGACATGGCCTGGCTAGACAGGACAGAACAAGGCCTACCTTCTGGTGGGCCACACATGCCCTCTGGCCGCCGGGCCAGGAAGCTGTGTGCCAGCAGCGCCTCCTTGCTGTGCTCGACCTGCGCGCGCAGGGCCAGGGCGCTGAGCAGCTCCGAGTTGTTGGACGTGCTGCGGTAGTACAGCATGTGCGCCAGCTCCAGGGCCTGCACGCTGCGCCGCTGCCCGAACATCTGCCCAGGACAGCTGCAGGGTCAGCCGGACAACCAGCCTTGCCCCGCCCAGCCCTGCACACCTGTCCCTCCAGCAGACTCACCACAGGGAGGTAGAGGATGGTGTTGAAAACCTACTAGTCCCCAAGGCTGAGCCTGGGGAGGAGAACTTTAACACACATTCTCTCAGCCCCAGAGGCTCCCAGGCAGCCCTTAGGAAGACCAGCTTATACCAGCCTGCACTGGCTGGTTCCTCTGGCCCCAGGCTAATGAGTCTGCCTGGTGGATTTCTAAGCTGCGTGAGTTTCAGCCTCAGAAGTGCCTGTAAGTAAGTCCTCGTCTGTGGCTGACAGACTTCCTTACTTCCAGATGAGACGTCTAGGGTCTGCTCCAAAGTGACGCAGTGGTGGGTCTCTGGATGAAATCACACTTGCTCTTGGTGTTGGGTGCTGCCTACTTGGGGGTTCATCCCGCTATTCTATTTCTGCCTTGTGTGAATTTTTGCATAATGAACAAAGGTTTTACCTATTAAATTGTGAAGAGCAGTGAGGGAAGAAGAGGCAGACCTGAGCCCACGTGTCCCTCGCATCCCCTCCCTCCTGGCACCTCCTTGCTTCGCGTCCCTGAGGAGCAGAGGGGAGAGCCCACCCAGCCCTCTGGGCTCACGCAGGAAACCTGTGCTCAGATTCCTCCATTCATCCACAAAAGGAGTTCGAGGCCACTAGGTGCTGCAGCCACCATGCCTGTCCCCACCATGCCCCTGGCAGCTGCAAGCCCCTGGCTAAGACCTCAGTCCTGGGGTAGCACTGTCTGTGCAGCGAGGTGAACTGATGCCCAGGAGGGTCCAGAAGTCAACCCAGGGATCATGGAGGGCCCGGGGCAGAGCCTGGCCACACCCGAGCACTCAAACATCAGCTACCATGGGACAGCCTGGTGGGGGTGCCTACAGAGTGCCACCTGTCTCCTAGAGAGGTCTAAGGTGACGCGCTTCTGCAGGAACACAGCCCAGAACATGGCTCAGTGGCCCACGTTATGCCAAGGACTCAGCTATGTAGGGGCGGTGACTTCTTGCCAGCCCAGCACCCTGGCTTCTGTCCTGCAAGGGGTCAATCGCCATTAATGGAGGACGAGAGGCAGGAGGTTTGTGTCTCCTTCTCTCCAGCCTATGGAGTTGGCTCCTCCCACGTGGAAGGAGGGGGTCCTGCCACTCCACCGCACGCAGATGGACCCAAAGGTCCCCTGTGTCCTTTCAACACAGCATCTCCCCCCACCCACCTGCTCCTCCTCCCCTGGAGTGGCATCTGGAGAGGCCCCACCGCCTACTAAGCCAAGGCCAGACCCCCAACCCTGTCCTGGCCCACTCCTCGCCAGCTTCAGCCTCAGCCCCAGCCCCCTGCTCCGTCCCCACTCAGGCCTGATCCTCTCCTGCAAGGGCAGCATCCCAGCCCCTCCCTGGGCTCAGTCTCCTGCTGTGGTCGGTCCCTGTCCCGCCCCTGCTCAAGGCTCTCCCACGGCTCCCTAGAGATTTGGACCCACTCCCTTCCTGCCTGTCCCCTCCGAGTGCAGCCCACTCCCTGCCCTCACAGGCGCTGGCCCTCCAGCCAGCCAGGCTGCCCCTGCTCTGTTCTTGGAGAATCCTCGCTGCCTCCTCCTCAAGGGGCAGGGCAGACGGCGCTGCATCCTGGGCTCCTGCACTGCCTGCTTCCACCTCCCCCGGGGTGGCCATCAGTGTCCATGTGCCCGGCCCCTCTCCCTCAGGGCAAGATGGGGCCCACACGTCTCTGGGGCAGCAGTTCAACCCCCGCAGGCTGCTCAGGGGCCTGCTCTTTGAGGAGCTCCGGGGACTCACAGGGAGCCAGGGTGCAGCAGGCCCCCAGGAGCAGCATCCTGCTCTGAGCTGCCCACAAAGGCTTCCCAGGGCAGGCAGCCTCTGGGCCTCGGGCAGGGGTGAGCAGGAGCTGGCCAGCACAATGAGGTGGGAAAGGAATTTGGGTCTACAGGAACAGCATATGCAAAGGCAGAGGAGAGGAAGCAGGGCAGAGGCGGGCACAGTGCCACAGGAATGCCCAGTGTGCCCAGCAAGAAGCACGAGTGAGGCTCAGTCAGCTGAGGCTGGTGCTGGGGAAAGGGCAAGGCCGGCTCTGGGTCCCCTGGGCTGAGCGGAGGCGGGAAGAGGGCAGGAAGTTGCAGGGCAGAGGCCCATCCACAGAAGGAAAACCCGAGTGGAGGCATCAGGAGATGCAGTGCTCAGCCTGCCACGGTGCCCAGTGTAGGGCCCTGTGGGGAGGGCTGCCTGGAGCCAGCTGCCCCAGACTGGCTCAAACACCCAGCTGCGCTGTGGTGGAGAAGTGGCTGTGGACACGGGAGGAGCAGAGGCGCCCCCTGGAGGGGAGGGAGAGGGGATTCTGCCAGGGGATCTGCTGTGCACCTGGTGCATCCAGGGGACGGGAGAGGCCTGGAAAAGAGGCCTGAGGAGGGGACGGGGGTCCAGGCGCAGCAACTGTGCCGAAGGCCCCGAGCTGTGGAAAGCAGGCGACTGGGAGGGGGAGGGCTTAACGAGTGCCTAAATTAACCAGAGACTGAGTTTTAAACTGGCCCCTGAGAACCTGAGAGCCCGCAGCAGGAAGCTCTCCCTCCCAGCCCTCCTGTAGCTCGAGCGGCCAGCAGCCTCTGGGCCAGGACAGCGTGGTATTATCCGTGGGATTTATGACCAGCCTCCCTGAGAGCTCATCAGGATGACTGAAGACAGCTTGAAAACTAGTGAGCCAGCAAGTGAATTATCAGGGACAGGGGACACCTCACACCCATCTATACTCCCTGGAGCCAGTGCCAACCCCGGGGAGAATCAGTAAGAGAGTCCTTCAGGCCAACTGAGACACACAGCTCAGCAAGCAGAGCAGCTGCTGGGGTGTCAGTCTTCACTGGCCTCTCCAGCCATAAATCCTTAGATGTGGACAACCTGAGCAACTGTATGAGGCTGTCCTGCACTCACATGTAGCAGAATCTGGAAGGGAGCTTATTAAAATACAATTTCCTAGGCCCTAGTCCCAGAGTTTCCAATTCAGTTCATTTGGGCCAGAGCCCAGAAGGCTGCATTTGTAAACCATCTCTCCCAGTGATAATGATACCCAGCCAGGGTAAAAACTCATGGAACAAATAGTCCAATCAGTAATAATAATCATCATCTTAATAGCTGACTCTCACATGGTACTTCCTGTACTCTGTGCCAGGCTCTGTTCTCAGCCCTATATGCATATTTATTCACTTAATCCCCACTCCAACCTATTACTTAGATCCTATTATCATCCCCACTTTGCAGATGTGACAGTTGAAACAGAGAGGTTAAGCAATGTGCTCAAGATCACACAGGTACAGACGGTAGAGTCAGATTCAAAGTCAGGCAGTCTGGGTCCAAAACGCACGCCCTCCACCAGATCCACACAGAGCTTCTTTACAGCAGGTGCTCCAGGAGGGGTGGAGAGCCTGGAGGGCATCTCACTATCCCAGGCAGGTGCCAGCCCAGGGCCTTTCCCGGACTCGCTCACTGAACCCTCACAACACCCCTGCAAGGCAGGTCCCCCGTGATTCCCATTAGGGCACCTGGAGTAGACCCGGAGGGGGGCCCGCGAAGCACGCTGGCCGGCTGCGGGAGCGCGGGAAGCGGCCACCACATACCTGGGAGGCCCGCAGGCCCATGAAGATGGCAAAGAGCAGGAACAGCAGGGAGGTGGCCATCTTGAGGTCCGAGAGCACCACCATGCCCACGTTGACGAAGAAGACCACGCCCGACACCAGCAGCGTGAGGTTGAGCAGCGCGCGCTGCAGCGTGGGCGTGCGCACCTTGAGCTCCGGCAGCAGCTGCTCCAGGCCCTCCAGGGGCGTGTCCTTGAAGCTCTTCAGCACCAGGTGGCCCCGCTTGGTCCGCGCCGCCAGCACCACCCGCTTGAAGTACCTCCTGACCGACAGCCGGACGGACGGCGGGTCAGGGGCCCGGCCAGCCAAGGCCTCCCTGGCCAGGACCCGCGCCTCCCTCTTCAGAATGTGGCCCTCCCGGGAACCTCAATCTCCCTCCCTCCCCGGGAACATGGGAAGAACTGGTCCTACCCTGTCTCCTCCTCTGGGCTGACTGCTGTAACTGGCTCTCCCGAGGGAAGAACAGGCGACATCTGACCGAGTCACGTCGGCCCCTTCCTCGCCTTCCCCCCCCAGGCCCCAGACACCGAAACCCAGACACTGACCTGTCAGTCCCCTCTCGCTCTAACCTTGTTCCCTCTGGCTCCAGCTGGGGAACAAGGGCCGCCTCACCTCTCTGCAGGGGGCAACTTGGTGAAGAAGCCCCACTTGGAGCCCACACTGGACAATCGAGGCATCTGCCCAATTCGCTGGCCCAGGGCCCAGAACTGCATGTAGATGTACTGATCCAAATTTATTGTCACCTGCCAAAGGGGATGAAGGAAGCAGAGGCAGCTGCACACAGGCTGGGGATGGAGGGAGGGGGACCAGAACTAGATCCCCCTCTCCCCAGAAATGCTCTCCCTGTCACCACTCATCAGTCAGTGTCTGGGCCACGTGTGGTTGTTCAGGTTGTGCACTGCACACCAGTACATCATCCAAGATGGCACCCTGCACACAGCAGCCATCTTTACCATAGTCTTTCCTGGAATCTAAGATGCCGCTGATATTTTTTAGTTTTTTGGTACTGGAGATTGAACCCAGAGGCACTTAACCACTGAGCTGCATCCCCAGCCCTTTTTATTTTTCATTTTGAGACAGGGCTTCACTAAGCTGCCCAGGCTGGCCTGGAACTTGTGGCCCTCCCGCCAGAGTCAGTAGCTGGGATCACAGGCGGGTGCCACCACATCCAGCTGAAGGTGCCACTGATTTTAAGATATGCCATTGTTTTATGAAGCAAACACAAAATAAAATGCGCTACAATTAGGCCACATCTCACCACTGCCTGAGTCACATTCCAGTTTCAGAGGTGACAAAACATGACTCTGGAAGATGTTCATTTTAGAAGTCATGAAAATGTGGAATTTTGGAAGATTTTAGTGTTTGTTACAATGTCACTGACCAAAAGGACGAGCACTTTGTATTGTGTATTTTTATAATTTTACTGAAGGTGGCGGCAGGATCCGGTCCTGAGAAGATCCCCCCATCACACTCCTGTTCTCTTCCCTTCTTTTCCCAGTGCCGGGATGGATCCCAGCCTCCTGCGGGCGAGGAAGCGCTCTGCCACCGAGCCCACCAGCCCTGGGTCAGGAGACTTTCCTAACAGATGGCACTGAAGTGACCTTGGTCTGTCGCCAAGCGTGCCGCATGGGCCCTGTGTTCGGGAGCACAGCCCCCAGCAGCCCCTGCCCCAGGCTCCAGGGGTTGGTCCTCTGGAAGACAGTACCTGGACCTCATCCTGAGGGTGGTGGACCACCAGCGCGTAGGCCAGGGCGTCCTCAGAGAGCGGGGAGAAGTTGGCCTGGGCCAGCAGGGGCTCCAGGGCTCGGAGCACCTCCTGCTCATTGGACAGCCGCTGGGGGTCTGTGAGTGACGGCTGGTCGAGGGTCTCCCTGTCGGGGTTGATGGGGTCATATAAGGCCTAGGAGAGAGTTGGAGGAAAACATGGCCTGGGTCATGGCACGAGGGACCGTGGGGACACTTAGGATGTGAAGACATTTAAGGGCACTGAGACAGGACACATAGGAGGAGGTGCAGTGCTGTGCCCTGGGGTCCCTGGGGCTGGGTGCCCCGCGTCCGTGCTCTCTTCAGGAGTACCCTACATGGCCCTGCCGTCCACCCCCTTGAAACGCCACCGCAGGCGATGACCCGCCCACTCCAGCTTGGCCTCTTCTCCACCACGGGCTCCCGCTGCCTGGCTCTGCTGCGTGAGCGTGGGCGCCCAGGTGGAGGCCACGGAGCAGATGGCCAGGAAACTCAAGTTCCACCCAGGGTCCCCGAGCAGAAGTGGCACCTGCTCCCTGGTCTCCACTCCTGCCCGTCTGCTGGCTTAGGACCCGTCTGGACCCTGTCTGCCCAGTGCAGGAGGAGCAGGTCTCCGTTTTCTGCACATTCTGACATTTCGAGACGTCAAAAGACCTTTCCGGGGGAACGTGCCTCCCAGAACTGGCCAACTCTAGAGACAGCCACGGGCTGGCCGGGGGAGCTCGTCCTGCCTACGCACCACCACGCCAAGCCAGACCTCCTCCGGGGCCTGCACCCCAGGACACATCTTCCTCCACGGGCATCATCCAGGGCCAAACCCCAGGCGACAGGGACATGCCATGTAGAGCCCAGGGCCCAGGAGCCCTCAGCTTCACCTGCGCTGCCTCCCGTGGAGACCCCCGTGAGGGCCCTGACTGCCCTGCCACCTGGCCCGTGAGGCCCTGCCCGGCCAGTGTGACTCTGGGCCCTGAGGACAACAACTCTGTCTTTCCTGAGTCTCCCCTGTGTCCCCCTCTGGAGTCGCAGCTGACTGACCACCTTGTAAAGAAGACAAAACACCCCAGACTGGATGGTGACCATGTGGGGACAAAGACAATGCCTAGGGGGCGCAGAGCCACAGGATGGCAGGAGGCTGTGCTCAGCATCATCTCCGTGGTGCAGAGACACGAGACACCAACCCCTGGCCCTCTGTCTCCTCTGAGCCAGCTGCTGAGCTGCGGCACCAACACCAACTCCCTACGCGGTACTTCTTTACGGAGGTCACAGTCACCAAACCACAGAGCCCACCACCAAATCACCCCGCCATTCTCAGCCGCCCAGAAAAACGGGCATCCAGATTCCCTTGGCCAGCCCCACTCCCCAGACACCCTAGGCCTGTGCCCCAAGGCCAGACCCCTGTGTTCAGCACCTCCTGACTTTCCCAGCGGGTGTCCAACCTAACCTGGCCCAGAGAGGACCTGCCCCACCCGCCTCCTCTGGGTTTCAGTGCAGATGGTACATCAGAGACCTTGGGCTCCCGATTCCCCTCTCCTCACCCCCACGTGCCCTCTTTACCAGTCCACTTGCTGACCCCCGGCCCTGTGTCCCCCCTTCCTCCCCACAGACAGCTTGTCTTTCACCTCAGCCACAACCTGGGGCTTCTGCTGCCCTGCATGACTCTTGGTCTCCACAGGACACACCTGGGTCATCTGCAGCTCTCCCACCCCCACCCCAACAGCTTCCCACATTGGAACAGAAGGCCGAACCTTCCCGTGACTTGGCAGACCCCTCCCCAATTGGCCTTGTCCACCTCATCTTAGGTACCCACACCCCCTGCCCCTCAAAACTGTTGAACGGATGAAGAAAGTGCATTTCCAGCTGCCCAGCCTGCTCGGCTGGTGGAGAGATGGGCCTCAGGAGGACACACGACTGGTCCCAGGCAGCACCGAGCCCCTGTAGAGGGAAAGTGCCTCTCACAGAGCCAGCCCACACTCAGCCCCAGCGTGTCCCCCAGGACAGGAGCCTTCAGGAGCAACCTGGTTGGAAGGAAAGGGGGGCAGGTCCTCCAAGTGGGCAGAGTGGCTGCCCAAAGGCTGGTGGCGGAGAGCCAGGCCGAGGCGGCCAGGGAGCCAGGGCAGAGGTGGAAGGCCAGGGGACAGGTGCTCATCTGAGTGAAGGGTCGGGCTGGATGTGCTGGCTGAGCACAGGAGTCTAGCGCCTGGCTCCCGCTTCCCAGGCTGACAGTGGGTCCCTTGGGCCACCTTCTCAGGCACGCTGTGACCTTGAGAAATTCCAGTTCTGGGGCTGAGCTGCAGACTGAGACAGAGGACCTCAGAGCTGGCGGGGGAAAGAACTCTGCACTCATCAGGCTCGGCAGCCAGGCTGGGGGGGCGGGGGGGGAGCCACACAGTCACCCAGGGCTTCTAGCCAGGAACCTGGCCACGCTCGCCCATAAATCCTGCTCCAGAGCAGGTCAGCACTTCAGCGGCTCCCTCCTCCCCACCAGCCTGCCCGCCACATCACCACCGCTTCCTCCCGTCCCCATGCAGCCAATGGCCCTCTTGGTGGTGTCCTCAAAATCCCAGGGGCCCCCACTGCTGACCCGCTCTCCACACAGCTGCCAGAGAGCTTGGCAAACAACCACAACAATAGATGAAAAGCACGCAGTCTGATGCGGGGACACTTGGAAGGGCTGATGGTGCATTCCTACAGTAGGAGAGCAGCACCATTGTCATCCTCATTTACAGGCGTGGACACTGAGGCACAGAGAGGCCAAGAAGCACCCAAGGTCATACAGGCAGGAAGTAAACCCACCTACTAAGCCCTTCAGGGCCTCCTGCTGCCCTCAGGGACCACGGCCGCACAGCAAGGCCCACAGGCACCAGCGCTGCAGACCCCTGGTGGCTGGGCACCAGCCATGCGGGCTGTCGCTCCTCCATCTCAGGCGCCCTGCACAGGCCCCTGCTGGGAGACTCTGTCCCCTCCAGCCTCCTTCCCGTCACTGCGGATCTCACCTCCTCTGTCATAGGCAGCTCTGCCCACAACTCTCAGAAAGCCCCCAGCCCCAGGCTGAGGATCCTGGCCGGGCAAAAGCAGCCAGGTCTAAGGAATACTGTCACGGACACCATGGACATAGTCACCCTTAGGATGACAATAAGGAGCCCAGAGCAGCACTGCCCAGTAGGATCTCCTGAACAGTCTAGATCTGTGCTGTCCCATGAGTCACCGCTGGCCACGGGTGGCCGCTAAACACTGAAACACGATGAAAGCAACTGAGGATGCAATGTCTAAAATTCATTTCATTATAAGTATTTTAAATGTAAGAGCCACATGACGCTGGCAGCTACAGACTGAAGAGCAAGCTCCACACTAAAGGAAGGGCGACCTGGCTCCATTCTGCTCGCGGACCCAAGAACAGACCCAAGGCCACCTGTCCTCAGCCCACACAGAACCCTGTCCTCGGCCCCCCCCCCGCGGTGCCCATCATCTCTGTCCATTCACCTGGTTCACAACTGTCCCACCACCCGTGGGCAGCTCTCCACAGGAAGGGGCAGGCCTGGCATGGCTCCTCAGTGAAGCCCAGCCCCTGGCACCAGGCCTCACCCAGAATGAGAGACTCACCTGGGTCCTGGTGAGGGCTGGTGAGGGCTACTGCTGCCCTTTCTATCCTGGAGCCTTCCCTTGGGGACCTGGGGACCTGGACACCGTGGCCTGCTGAGGACTCTAGGTTTCTGACACCTCGCCTGAGGGCCGCCCCAACAAGCCCCTGCAGACATCAGCAGGCCTCCCTGTGCTTCCTGCAAGGCACCTCCCAACCCCGGTCTCACACCAAGGCCCAGCTTGGACCCCAAACCTGCGCCTCTCACCATCTGCCCATCTCAGGAGATGCCAACTGCATCCTTCCCAGCGCCAAGGCCCAGGGCCGGAGGGTCATCAGGGATGCTCCCTTCCCGGGACGTCCAGCCCATCGGTCAATCCCCACCGTACCCCAGCTGAAACAGACCCAGGACAGGAAGCTCCTAGCCCCCTGGTCTGAGACACAGATGGGACAGTCAGCTTTGTTCCCCATCCGCACAGAACCCTGTGCCCCTGGCCTGCACAGCCCGAACGCATCCACTCACTGGGGATGCACCAACTCCTGGCCACCTTTGCTGGACCACTGCACTCCCCCACCCCCACCCCCACCCTGCGGCCTGGCTCCTGGTCCCAGCCCTCACCCCGTCTGTTCTCCCACCAGCCGCCAGAGGGCGCCTGTCTCCGCTCATGGTCCCTCCCTGCTCAGAACCCTCCCTGGGCTCCCAGGGCTCCCTGGCTGTGTCCTTCACACAAGTCACTCTGCAGTATCTGTCCTGGCTTCTTCTCTGCCCTCATCCCCAGCCCTTGCCCCTTGTCTCACTCGGCTCTAGCCTCAGGGGTCTGCTTGTTCTTCCCCCTACACACCAAAGGCACCCCTGCCTCAGGGCCTTTGCATTCACTATTTCCTCAGATCTCATGGCTGCCTCTTGGCCTCCTTCAGATCACTACTCAAATGTCACCACCTCAGGGGAGGCCCTTTCCTAAAATTGGAAAACATCGCTTTCTTTTTCTCCTCAACTATGGCTGCCAGATCTAGGGGAAAAAATATTGATTGATTGATGGATGGATAGATAGAAAGAACTTTGAGGTCCTCCGTCCTATGCAATATTTGAGGACCATGTTGTTAAGGCATACTAACACTAAAAAAGTTCTTTATAGTATCTGAAATTCAAATTTAATGGAGTATAGTGGGCTGAAGAGTATTGCCTAAAAACTCATATTCCCCACAAAGGAAAAAAATGAATTTAAAAAAATTTCCATTCTCCCCACCCCCAACTAAGTGCAGTGGCTCATGCCTGCAATCCCCACTGAACTCCAGAGGCTGAGACAGGAGGATGGCAAGTTCAAGACCAGCCTGGGCAACTTAGTCAGATTCTGTCTCAAAACAAAATATTTTTTAAAAGGGCTGGGGGTATACCTTTGTGGTAGAGTACCCCTGGGTTCACTCCCCAGTACAGGGAAAAAAATTCACACCCCCTCAGAATCTCAAAATATAACCTCATTTGGAAAAAGGGTCTTTTCAGAGGAATAGAAGGTAAAGATCAGGATAAGATCACACTGGGTTGGAGAATGAATGCCCTCATAAGAGACAGAGAAAGGCATGTGATGCTGGTGATAGGGGCTGGAAGGAGGATCCACAAGCCAAGGGACACTGTGACTGACATCACCGTGACAGGCTAGAGATGGGCATGGGACATTCCTCCCTGTTCCTCCCGTGGAGCCCGTAGGGGACCCAGCTCTGCCACTCCTGACCTCGGACTTCTGGTCTTCTGAACAGGGATTAAATGTCTGTTGTTTTAAAGCCACCTCGTTTACAGAAATGTGACACAGCCGCCCTTGGAAATGAATAAACTGGCTGTCCTGTGCTTCATCTGGCCACCCTGATCCTTAGTCCTTAGCACCTTCGGAGGTGTGGGGCTTCTCTCTGCCTCTTTGGCATGAGAGTCCCCACGAGGCAAACACACACATCTGTCGTGCTGACTGCTGTGCCCTGGGACCTGGAACCATTCAGAGGACACTGTAGGAGCTCAATAAATATTTATCAAGTGAAATCAATGAATGAATGAATAAGGGAAAGAAGGTTCAGAGAGAGGTCACCTGCCAAGGTCACTGGCATCACTAATGAACAACCAAACTAGTGTCTGAACCAGGGCCGCTCGGACTCCTTCCCTGCCTGGTCAGACCCAGGCTTCCTTGAGAAACAGATCATCAGCAGTGATCACCCCCGCCGTCCTGCCTCGGCCCCTCCCACCCTGCCCCCAGCACCCGTGTGTACAATCTCCTGCCTCGAGACACAGGCATACTCATTCATATTCTGTCTGCCTCTCTGTTTCAATGTTTATATAAGAAAATATTCTGCAAGACAAAGAAAAACAACAACAACACTGCCTCTTGAGGCCAGGGGTGCCTCATGAAGAGAGAGGGTGCAGGGGCTCGAGCTGTGTCTCCCCCACTGTGAACTGTGGTCGTGGGCACTTCCAGGCCTCCCAGGGCCTCCATTTCTGCCTGGCAGCTGCCTCTCGGGGCTGCAGGAAGGAGTCAAGAGCCTGACCCAGGGTACTCAGCCAAGAGGGCCGTGCTACTATCAAAGCAAGGAGGGGGGCCATGGAAGACAGTAGCAGGGCGCAGAGAGGGTGGCTCGCAGGCCTGAGGTGTCCTGCACATTCCAAAGGCCTGGCCCTTGACCAGCTCCAGCGATGAAAACCCCGAGCCCCTGCAGGATCCTGCACAATAAGATTGTCTCGGTTTGCCTGAGGCCACAGCCACCCCAGAATCTATGCTAACACTGACCTATGGCCGGGCCCTGGGCCACTCAGCATCAGTTTAACCTCTGGAGGAGCTGGAGGCCCAGGTCAGTCACCATGCCTACATAACGGAACCAAGAAAAACCCTGGGCACCAAGGCTGGCAGTCCTCTGGTGCACCGTCACACACCTGCAGTGGACTGAATGTCAAGTGTCCCCAGGATTCACAAGTGGGAATCCAAATCCCGAGGTGATGTGAGGCGGGAGGGCCTCTGGGAGCTGATTAAGGCATGAATGGGATCCATACCTCTACAAAAAGAGACCCCAGAGCTCTCTCTCCCTCTTCCACCACGTGAGGTCACAGCAGAGGGCACTGTCTATGAACTAGGACGCAGCCCTCATTAGACACCAAGCTGCTGGCCCCTGCGTCCTGGACTTCCAGCCTTAAGAACTGTGAGAAGTCAATCTTTGTTGTTCAAGCTCCCATTTCTTGGTGTTTTTTTTTTTTTTTAAAGAAGTCTAGCCTAAGACAACAGGTATTCCTTGGTGGTCTCACTTAGTACAGTCTAGATCCTTCCAGAGCTTTCTCAGCCCAGGCCCATGTATCCCAGTCACCTTTCTACCTGCCTGTTCCACAGGCAGCTCAAATTCCTAAGTCTAAAGGAGCTCTCTTTCCCCCTGCCCCGCCCCAAGTGCAATCTTCTTCATCTCAGTTAATGGCAGCTCCGTCCTCCCAGAGGCTCAGGTCGGGGACACCGGAGGCAGCCCTGCCTTGTCTCCCTCCCTCACCAGCCCCCCCAACAGAAAACGCCGATGCTTTCCAACCATCAACAGCCTCTGACCACTTTTCACCACTTCCACTGCTATTACTCTTTCTGGAGCTTCCATTATCTCTCCCTGGACAAGCATAACAGGCTCTTAATAGGTTGTTCCCGACAGAAAGTCAGAGGGATCCTGTCAACACCTAAGTCAGCTCAGATCTCTGCTCGGAGCCCTCTGTGCTTCCCAGCTCACTCAGAGTCCCAGCAGAGAACTGGCCCGCGGGCCCAGGACGATATGTCCCAGGCCCTCTGTCCCCTTGGCAGTCTCCCTCCAGGCCTCCTCGCCCTCAGGGCCTCTGCATTTGCTGCTCTCTCTGGAGCACCCTCCCCAGAGACCTCAGTCTTGCTCCCTCTCCTTACTGAGGTCTTAGCCTACCTGTCACCTCCTCAGGGAGCCCTTTCCCAAGCACCCTGTCTAGAAAGCCCCCAGCTGGTCCCTCTACCCCACATGACCATGTTGTTCTTAGTGGCACTCACCCTAACAGGCATCAGATTTACATTCATTTTATTTCTTTGCCTCCCCATCGGGAACCCCAGCTCCATGAAGGAGTGGCCACACCTGTCCATTCACAGCTGCATCTCCAGTGCTTAGAGGAAGCAGGTGTCAGTGACCAGCTGAACTGAAGAGCAAACAGCACGACAGGGAGGGAGAGGCCCGTCCTCACCTGCAGCCTGGCCAGGATGTGATGGTAGTGGAACAGGGTGCAGAAGTCCACATGGGCTGAGAACTCCTTCAGAGCCACCTTCTCTGCCGGGCTGGAGTGGAATTCCTGTCACCTCGGGAAGGAAAACCTCTTTAGGCCTCTTTCCTCTTCCCCGTGGGAGGAACTCTTTCCCTGGTCGCCCATAACACAATCAGAACTCTAGGCTTTTTTCTTTTTTGTACTAGAGATTGAACCCAGGGGCTCTTTACCACTGAGCTACATCCCCAGCCCTTTTTATTTTTCATTTTGAGCTAGGGTCTCACTAAGTTTCTTAGGGACTTGCTAAGTTGTCCAGGCTGGTCTCAAACTTGGGATCCTCTTGTCTCAGCCTCCTGAGCTGCTGGGATTACAGGAGTGTACCACCAGCCAAGCAGAACTCTAGGCTTTTCAAAAACTGTATACTTGGGGTTGAGGAAGGAGTTTGACCCATTTTTTGGACCAAAAAGCCAAGGCAGCCCAATACAGTGAAAACCAGATGGCTTGAGGGCAGGGAGGCTGGAACTCCCATTTTGACACTTACTTACCAACATTCACACAGGGCTTCTTGTGTGCCACCTGCTGTCTGATGGCATAATGTCATCCTCCAGAGCACAGGGGGTGGTAAAATTATAACCTCCGTTTTTCCAGAGGGAAACTGAGGCCCTGTGGAAGTAATTTTCTTGTCCGTGTGATGTGACCCCAACGAGGTCATGTCTGTGTGAAGTGATCCCAATCCATGCCTGTATGACTCCAGAGCACACATATTGAACTTCCTTGATATACATCCTTTTTCAGTGCCCTGGATAAACATCTTCATTCTCGGGGCCTCGGTTCCCTCATAGGCAGCAGAGGATCACAGCCTCTTTCTCAGAGGACTATGGGGAGAATTTGATGAGGTTTATGTGTCCATATATTTACGTGTGTGTGTGCAGTCTACTAAAGGACTCTGTACATTCAGCAGGTGTTCAGTAAATCATTGTTAAAATGAGGGCTGATTCTCAATAATGACGGGTATGATGATGGTGGTGGGTGGAAGAGCTCAAGATCTGGAGCAGTACTAAGACTGGGGTGAGGTCAAGAAAGCATCCAAGGAGGGGCTGGGGCTGTAGCTCAGAGGTAAAGTGTTTGCCTCGCATGTGTGAGGCACTGGGTTCGATCCTCAGCATCACATAAAAATAAATAAAGATACTGTATGTTCATCTACAACCAAATAAATATTAAAAAAAAAAAGAAAGAAAGAAAGCATCCAAGGATATAAAAGAAAGAAAGAAGGTACTCACTGTTAAGGTCAGGTAAATGCCCAGCCTAATCCAGGCTCAGTTCTGGAATTAAGGCATTTAGGTTCAAATCTGGGCCACCAGGCCAGCACAATGGTGCACGCCTATAATCTCAGTAGTTCAGGAGACTGAGGCAGGAGGATCATAAGTTCAAAGCCAACCTCAGCAACCTAGCAAGACCCTAAGCAACTCAGCAAGATTCTGTCTCTAAATAAAATATTAAAAAGGGCTGGGGGATGTGGCTTAGTGGTTAAGCACCCTGGGTTCATCCCGATACCCAAAAAAAAAAAAAAAATCTGGGCCACTCTATTTGTGGCCTTGGTTGAGTCATTTTCCTTCTGCATACTTCATCTATAAAATGGGGGTGATCTCTTATAATTAAATATATGAAAAATTCTTAGCATTGTGCCACAGAGTAAGAATTCAAATAGTGTGATAATAATTATGATTATAAGCCTGGTGTGATGGTGAATGCCTATAATCCTAGTGGCTCGGGAGGCTGAGGCAGGAGGATCAAGAGTTCAAAGCCAGCCTCAGCAAAAGCAAGGTGCTAAGCAATTCAGTGAGACCCTGTCTCTAAATAAAATACAAAACAGGGCTGGGGATGTGGCTCAGTGGTCGAGAGCCCTGAGTTCAATCCTTAGTAGCCCCCCAAAAAAATAATAATAATTATGCTTATAGATTTGTGAATTTGTAGATACAATTTTTATTAGATAGTATAAATAATATTGAGAGAATAATTATTATGCCCATTTTACAGAGAGAAACCCATGCTCCTTTAAGCAAATGCCTGTTAAGCCCAGAAGACAGCCCAAGTCCAGAATCTATGCTGCACCTGCATCTCAAGAGTTCTGGCCCCTACACAACCCACTTGGGACTCTAACGAGACCCGGAACCACAATTCCCAGGAGTCAACAGGGCCGTCCCTCACGGCGTGCAGGGCCCCCACAGCCGCGAGGCCTGCCGGGAATCGTAGTCCCCAAGCTCTTGGACCCGGGACGGGCGGTACCTGTATTAGAAGGCGGAGCAGCTGCTCTTTGGAGAACGGAATGAAGCGCTCGCGGTACTGCTGGGCCCAATCGCGGGGCTCCGTGGGGTTCCACATCTTGCGGTACACCCCCATCTTGTCCGCCAGGGACGACAGGGCCCGGGGAGTCCCGAGGAGTGCGGGCAACAGGGGCCATACTCGGACCGTGGACCCCCAGACCCCTCGGGTCACGTGCAACATGACCAGATCTTTTCCCTGGAGCCTAAACAGAGGGAAATGAACAGGGGTCAAATGACACCTGTAGGAAACGCCCTCTTCCTCCATTTCCCGCCCTCCAGGGAACGACCCTGCCCCAGCCTGAGCGCAGAACTCATCTACCCACTTCGAGACCCCTCTTGCCCGCCCCTCCCACACTGCTCAGCTGGTGTGACTCCTAGACCGGGGTCAGAGGTCTTAGGGTCAAGGGTGTTTTGAAGGCCCAGAGACCCTATAGTGGTACAACTGGTTTCTGCGGGTCTAGATGGCAAGATGCAGGAAATGCTCGGAAAGGCTACGCAGGGGGTGCAGGGCCGCCCTCCCCCGGCCATGCAACACCCCCCGGCCTTCCCTCACCTTAAATCAACGTTCGACTGTCATTGAACCTCCTGCGCATGTGCAAGGAGGAGCCCTAGTCCCCGGGGGTCGGCTTCAGAGAGCAGTAAAACGCATGCGCAAATCCCTGGTCATTTAAAAGAACCCATTTTTCCCTCCTCCTGATCTCAACTGCGCGTGCGCAACCCACAAACTTCCCCGCCAGTTCGTTTATGTGACGCGCATGCGCCACAGAAGTGTCTCCTTGTCCAGCTTCAAAGGGAAGGGGCGGGGTGGGCGCGAGAGTCCCGGGGCAGGGCTCCCGCGCGCAGCCAGCCAACGGCGAGCTGACCAACGTCCGCTGAGGCCACGCCCTTGCACAAGCTAGCTCCAGAGTTGGCGGAAATGGAAGAGGGCGGGACTTGGGTACAGCCAATCAGCTGTGGAGGAGCAAAAAGGCGGGAAAAAGAGGAACCAAAAGAAGGCTGAGGTGGCGCCTGGGACCCGGAGGGGAGGGCAGGCAGAAGGAAGAGCCGGACTCCAGGTGACGTATTTCGGTCCTCCAGAGCAGGGGTGACCCTTTGTCAAGCAGCGTCACCCCCCGCCAGCCCCAGCAGTCCCATCCCATGTCTTTAAAGGGAAGACCCTAATTCTAGGAAGGTGGCCTAGCCCCGGGTGTGTGGCCTCATCCGATGGGACCGCTCCATTCCGAGCTGAGCTCCACACATCGAGGGCAGGACCCCAACTTGAGGAAATGCACATTTACGAAGACGATGAAGCTGTCGCCTAGTTCTAAGAGGAAATAACCCCAAATCACAAGGACAGCCTAAAATATACCCTGAAGGCCTGCGTCCTCCATTATGGGTTTGTCGCCCCAGCCTGAAAGGGATTCCTGGGCTTCAGACATCCCAGAGGTCCTCCCTACCACCCCACAGAGCCCATACTTTCCAGAAACGTCCACCTGCGTCCTCTCAGAGAAGGTCACCTTTAAGCTGGGCCCTCAAGCTCCTGTCAAGGACATGGCCCCCACATGCCCCAGCCCTCTCCAGGCCCCAGCTCCTTGGCCTGGGGCTCCTCACCCTGCCATCCCACTCTGGAACCCCTGGCCCACAGTCCCCTCACCCACATGCTGACTTCTGGGACCTGAAGCAGCCACTTCACTTATGGGCCCACTCTTAGGATCCCCAGCAGCCCTGTAACTCTGTGCCCCATTTTTAGGACCTCCAAAAATATCCCTGTCCCCAGTTCCTGGGTTTCCCTATGCCCCCCCACTCTTAGGACTCCCAGCAGCCCTGTCACCCCACATCCCCCTCATCCCATACCTGACTCTTGGGGGCACCTGAAGTCCTCTCTCCTGCATTTCCAACTCCTGGGGCCTGAAACCAACCCTTCACCTGCCATCCAATTCCTCACCCCTTATCCAGAGCTCCTGGGACCCTGAAGCAGGTTTTTTACTCCACATGCCCCATTCCCAGGACTCCCAGAAGCCCCCTCACCCCATCCCCAACCTCTGGAAACCTCAGTAGCCCCATTATCCTGTACCCCAATTCGGAGGACCCTTAACAACTTTTCATCCCCAGGAGCCCCTTCACCCAGACTCCAACTCCCAAGAGCTCTGGTAGGCCTGCATTTCACACAACCCCACTCCTGGAACCCTATGTCCTGACTCTGACGTTCCATGTCTGTGTTGTCTTGCAGCAGCAAGCCTCAGCGTGAGCTTGGAGCAGTCAGGTGGCAGCACCCAGCAGGCAGTGCCCAGAACCTCTCCCCCCACCTCCAGGGACCTCAGAAGGAGAACAGCCGCTATGCACCTCCCAGAAAGCCTGCAGGACCTGGCTGACAGTGAGGCTGTGCATTTTCTGAGGAAGCCAAAGAGCATTGCACGGATCTTAGAAGGGGTGAGGCCCCTATGGCCCACCTGTAGGATGTGGGATTGTGGCCCACAAGATGGGAATGGTCAACTTTCAGTCCTAGGATCAGAGGGAGGGGGCAAGAAGGGTCAGAAGAGGAAATGGAGCAAAAGGGAGCTAATAACTGAAGCCACCTTTGAGCACTCTGCTATTCCTAGCACTGATTGTCTCTTTTTTAAAATATTTTGTTTTAGTTGTAATTGGTCACAACACCTTTATTTTTATGTGGTGCTAAGGATCAAACCCAGTGCCCTGCAAGTGCTGGGCGGGCGCTCTACCGCTGAGCCATAACTCCAGACCCCTTATTGACTCTTTGTAAGAAAAAAAAAAACCTTCAAAGGAGGTGCTGAAAGCCCCATTTTGAGCTAAGAAAACTAAGAATTAACAAAGTGAACTAATTTCCTATCTTGAAGACTGCTGTCCAATGGGGTAGCAATAAGGCACAGATAGCTATTTCAATTTTAAATAGCATAGGCTATTTCTCAGTCACCAACACCACATTTCAGGTATTCAGCAGCCACCTGTGGTTCTTAAATTGGAACATTTTTGTAATGCCAGAAAGTTCTATTGGACAGCATTGACTAAGGTCACATAATAAGAAACAGTGCCAGGGTTCAAACTTGGGTCTGTAAGATACTAGACCCAGTTTATTTTCCTTCTCTTAGGTTGGGGTGGTGGGAAGAGAATATGTAAGACAGACCTAAGATACCAGCTGTCCAGTGGCCATTTGTGTGTCAAGCACTGTGCTGAGGCTTATATGCATCTTGTAGGGGGAGGGTACTGGGGGTTGGATTGAACCCAGGGGTGCTTAACCAATGCACCATACCCTTAGCCCTTTTTATTTTTATTTTGAGACAGGGTTTTGCTCAGTTGCTTAGGGCCTAATTTGCTAAGGCTTGTCTAAAACTTGCAGTCCTTCTGCCTCAGCCTCCTGAGTGGCTGGGATTATAGGCTGCACCACCAAGCCCAGCTATATACATCTTTTAGTCATCACTACATCCCCATAGAATCTGTACACTGGAGTCAAATCCTCATTTGGTGAATCACCTGTAATACTGGCTACTGGAGAGGCTGAGGCAGGAGGATCACAAATTCAAGATAACAACTTTGAAATCCTATCTCAAAAAATAAACAGGGCTGGGAATAGAGGTCAGTGGTACAGTGGCCCTGTACAATTCTCAGTACTGAAAAAAACAAAAACAAAAAACATCATTCAGCTCAGACTCTGCTGTGTGACCTTGGACCAGTCACTTCTCATTGGCTTTAACTGTGCGGCCTTTACTGCTCACTCTTGACACAGCCAGACACAGCCCAGGGAGATGATAAATCTCATGCAAGTCTGAGGAGTAGGTTGGGTGCCTTATGTCAGAACTTAGGGTTTCCTGCCAGATTTCTATCTCCCTGCCCCTTCTGGAACAAAGGGACCACACAGGCCTGAATGAATTCTAGTCTAGCCATGTGCCATCTGTTAGAGGGGTATACTCCCCAGGTTGCTCAGCTGGTCCTGGCATAACTATTAGTAGTACTACTTTTCATTCCCAGAAGTGCCATTTTGTTCCATAGCTTATGTGGTCACCATATGTCTGTGTGACCTGAAGCAAGTTACTTGACTCCTCTGAACCTCTCTCCCTTCATCTGTAAAGAGAGTGTCCCCTACCCTGCTCAGAGGAAGGTCTGTTGTGGAAATGAGACAAGTTAATGCCTATACAGTGATGAGCACGGGCCTGGCAAGTGGTAGGCTTTCCTTAAATAGCGATTATTAGTGGAACAAATCATGACTTGTGAGGGAGGAGAGATGGGTTTCAGCGCCCAGGGTGATAGGGATTTGTGCCGCATTGTCCTTTTCCCCAGGGAAAGAGGAGAATTGTGAATGTGAATGTGCCACGTCCCTGCTGGTGGAGGCTCCTGTCCTCCTCACCATAGCCGTATGATGGACGTTTCTGCCCTGTCTAACCCAAGGGGAAACTGAGGCTCCCAGAGGTTGAGTGACTTGCCCAGGGACGGCACCCAGCTGGTGGGCAAGTCAAAGTGGGATTTACCCGCCTGTTTCCAAAGCCTGGGGAGGAAGGGCACAGCAAGGGAGGAGGCCCAGCTGGTGTGGAGGGGTGCGGGCAGCGGGGGAAGGGCTGCTGGCTGTGCCAGACGTTCTGGTCACGGACTTTGCCCGCTGCTTCCATCCTCCCTCCTGCCCGCCCTCTCCGCCTTCCCCCCTGGCCTGGCTTCTCAGTAGGGAGCCTCTGGGCAGCTGGTGCTCTTGTCCTTCTCACTGCCGCCTGCCAGCTGGTGCCTTAACTGATGAATCTTTGCTCCCTCCCTGGGGATAGGCCAGCAAGGGTGTGGAAGGAGGTTGGACTCAGGCTCCAGTTGACTAGGGTCTCTTGGCCCAGCTGAGCCCCCTCCCAGAGTCTCCAGTGCCCTGGGCTCTAACATAGCCAAGATCTTCTGGGACTGGTGGGCAAATAACCCAGAGGCCTCAATAACCCTCAAGAGAGCTGGATTCCAATCCCACCCCACGTCACCTGAACTTGAATAGAGGATTCCCGCTTTGGTTGAATCCTGAGAACCACCATTTTCCTGAGCACCTCTAGGGCTGAGCGCCCACCCCTGCATTTCCCCTCTTCAGAGCATAGTGACAGACTGGGAAACTGAGGCTCCAAGACCTCAGTGCTGTGCCCAAGGCCACATAGCTGGCCGAGTAGGACGCGTCTGGTTCTTTCCACTCCACTGTAATGGCTTCGATTTATCACCTGTGAAACAGAAATGAATTAATAACACCTCCCGCGTGGGCTGGTGCTAGGTTCTGGGAGGTGGTGCAGCTAAAATGGATATGGGCTCAAAAATGATTGATGCGCTTTCCCATCCCAGACCTGGCTCTGCCTGGGACCAGTCAGCTGGGGCTCATCCTGCAGCCTCCCTGTAAGGGTAGCTGTGGGTCAAACGAGACAATGCCATGAAGGCACAGTGCTTGGCAAAAAGAGAGACTCCTTGTCGACAGTCATTGTCGTTGTCATGGTTGTAAAGCTGTTAAGACAAAGGACAGAGAAAGGAGGATGGGCAGGACGAATGCTGAGGAGCTTAGGGATCCGTCCTTTGCCTCCTCCACCTTGCTCCTAAGGACAAGCAAGAGCTGGAAGGAGCCAAAGCCACTCCCTCTTTACACATATTTGCAGAAGTCCAGTCTGGTACTGGGTGCTGGGCCTAGAAGGGTCCACCATGGGGTTTGTCCTGCAGGACTTCAAATTCTAATGAAGGGCCATTTGCAGTGGTGCATGCCTGTAATCCCAGCCGCTCTGGAGGCTGAGGCAAGAGGATCATAAGTTCAAGGCCAGCCTTAGCAATTTAGCAAGGCCCTAAGCAACTTAGTGCAGCCCTGACTTCAAATAAAATATTAAAAATAGGGCTGGGGATGTGGCTCAGTGGTAAAGGGCCCCTGGGTTCAATCCCAGGTACCAAAAAAAAATTAAAAAATTCTAATGAAGGGGTCATTTTCAACATGCCCTTTCCCTCAGCCTACCCACCCCCCACCAACTCCATTAGCCAACACTGCCATATCCAATCAATCACCAGGTCCAATTTTACGTCCTAAATATTCCTGGATTCCCCAGGGCTCCCAACTCAGTGTTTCTGACCTGGTCCCCGCCACCAACCTGCTCTTAGGTCTGTGGGCATCTTGTTTTGTCCTCCTCCAGTCCATCAGCCATGTGACCCCAGAGGATTTCTCTAACCCTCAGGTCTGACCCTGGCCCTCCTCTGCTCAGAACCCTTCCATACATAAAATTAAGTTCAAATAAGAAATTTAACTTTCCATGGCTCCCCTCCTCCTCATAAAAACATCACCCCAAAGCAAACATCATCCTCCAACCAGCTCCACCCTCTACTCTAGGCCTGGTGTTCAAGATCTCTGAGAGTCTAGCTCCTGCCCACATTTTCAGCCTCATCTCACACCAGATCCCTCAAATGAGATTTCTCTTTTGTCCCTTTAGAACCCCTGCATCTGACTTTTTTCCCTGCTACTAACTCTTCCCAGAGTGCCTTCCTCCAAGCTGGGGATATAGCCCAGGGGTAGAGTGCTTTCTGAGTATATGAGAGGGCCTGGGTTCGAACCCCAGCCCCACAAAGAAAAGAAAGAAAAAGGGAAAAAATGCCATTCTCTTCTCTGCCTGGAAAAATACTCCCCTGTCAGGTCCAGTTCAGATGTCAACTCATGATCTCCTAAGTGCAGGCCCAGGATCCCACTCAGACCTTGACTCTCTTCCCTGACCTTGGCGCTCCTCCTGACCTTGGCATGCAGGCCCTCCAGCCTTCTCCACTCAGATAGAAGAGCTCTTTGTACACCCAGAGCTGATCCTGCAGCACCCTAGGGATCCCTGTTACCCTCCAAACTATGTTCCCATTCCTCAGCCTTTAACACTCCTTATAAAAACATCATCCAAAGCAAAAGTCATCCTCCAACGAGCTCCACCCTCTACTCCAGGTACACACCTGCTCCTTCTGTGTCTGGCATAGGCCTTGCCACGTGGCCCTGTGGTCATCTGAGACAGAGGAGCGGGGCTTCAACTTTTCACTCATTATGCCTCAAGGCATTTGGTCCAGCGTGAAGTAGTGTAGTGAGGGGTTAAGAGCAGACTGAGGAGCCAGACTCCGAGGGTTCAACTCCAGGCTCTGCTGCTTACCAGTGTCACCAAGTTCAGCCAATTCTTCATCCTCTTTGTCTCAGTGTCATTATCTGAAGAACAGGACCATTAATAGTGCCCTGTCATAGGGTGGTTGCAAGAATATTTGTAGAATAACAAATGAACGTTACAGAAGACGGTCACAGACATGAACTATATGCTCCATGTATACCCAAGGGGACAGGAATATTGTATTTGTGGGATTTTGTTGGTTTTGGGGTTTGGTTACTGGGGATTGAAGTCAGGGGCACTTAAGCACTGAGCTACATCCCTAACCCTTTTTAAATATTTCTCAGGCTGGCCTCAAACTTGTGATCCTCCTGCCTTGGCCTCAAAAGTTGCTGGGATTTATAGGCGAGCACCACCGTGCCCAGCTTTGTATTTTGTTTTTTAAAAAACTTCTGAAACCAAATCAAAAAAGCATAATTTAATATTTGCTAGTTCTGGGTAGTCAGTACTGGGTATCTGTTATATTTCTCTCCATACTTTTCTGTATACTTGGAATATTTTACAAATTTATTTTTAAGAGTTGAATAGGGAACTGGGAGTGGTGGGTCACGTGCCAGCATGTGCAAGGCCCTGCATTTGATCCCCCAATTCCACACAAAAGAGGGGGGAAATGGGAATTGATAGGGAAGTAGGGAGAGAGAGAAGTTACAAGTAGAGGGAAGAGCTGAAGGCGGAGAACACACACCTCCATCAGCTCCACTGTGCTAAGAGCAGGGGACTTGGGTTTGGTGGCAAAAGGCAGGGCTGAGTAGGGAAAGAGGGAATGAGGAAAGGGAGGAGGGTGGAGCCCACACAAGGCCCCAAAGACCAAACTGAGGGGCTAGGACTCACTCCTGGGGGCCTGGGGACCATGGGGGAGACTGTGAGCAGAGAGGGACATGATGTGAAAGGACCCCTAAGAGTTTGTGGGGGATGGTCCGAGGAGACAAGTCTAGAGGCAGGGGGGCAATGGAGGAGGAAAGGGACGGAAAAGAGGGGAGGAAGGGCAGAGGTTGAGAGCTCTGAGGGTGTGACAGGGAGGGAGAGGGCAAGAGTGACCCAACGTGCAGCAGGACTGTCCCAGCCAGGGAGCAAGAACAGCTCAGGGGAGTTGCTGAGCTTCACCCTGGTCCTTGGGGGTCCACAGATCTTCTCCCTCATCATCTTCTCCTCCTTACTGACCGATGGCTACCAGAACAAGACAGAGTCTCCCCAGCTCCACTGTGTCCTCAATAGCAACAGTGTGGCCTGCAGCTTCGCTGTGGGCGCCAGCTTCACAGCCTTCCTCAGCTGCCTGACCTTCCTGGCCCTGGATGCCCAGGAGAACCGCATCGCCAGCACCCGATTCAGGACGGCCTTCCAGCTCCTGGACTTCATCCTGGATGGTGAGCCCCCGGGACCTCCCGCCCAGAGCCACCCACTCCTGCAATGGCCCATGGGGCACAGCCCTTAGCCACCCAGCTGGCCCCATACCTGACAGTCCTCTCATCCTGTGGATCTGACCACACATGGCCTCACGTTTCTTGCTGCTAGTTGGCGCTTGCTGTTTCCTCCTCGGGGACAAATAAGCATCCTCAAGAGCCAGCACATGGCCTGCCCCCAGGCTCACCCCTTCTGCCCAGCTTCCCCCCACCTCCCCATTCATCTCCTTTCTTGAAAAGCCACTCCGTGGCTGGAAGTGGAGTTTGGAGCTTGGAGCCAGATGGACCCCAGCACCTCCTGGCTCTGCAGGCTCATGTCTCTTCCCTTCTTTTACCATCAGTAAAAGCTGGGACCAAGACCCCACCTTGCAGGGGTTTCTGAGGATGAAATAAGCGGGGCCTATAGTACCGCACACATTCACGGAGTGCTTCCCCAGGCAGGCACACAAATCCTGTCCTTTAAAGTCCTCAGAACCACCCTAGGAGGTGAGTCCTGCTCATTTTCCTGTTTTACAGAGAAGGAAACTGAGGCTTGAGGAGGCTCTTTAATGGGCCGCTGCTGCAGAGTGAGTGGCAGTCAGACACTCCTCACCACTGCCAAATACTCTCCATAGAGCCTGGCACACAGTAAGCACTAAATAAATGCACATTCCTTAAACTTACACCCTGGCCACCTCCTCTGTCGGATCTCTTCTCCCCCCTCCTCCTCCCTGCAGGGTTCAGGGAGTCCTCACAAGTCAATGAATCTGCTGAGAGCTTCCCGCGAGAGGGGAAGGTTCTGTACCTGTGCTGTCCGGCGTAGGAGCCGCTGACTACTCTTGGTCACTGAGCATTTGAAATGTGGCCAGGGCAACAGAGGAACTGAATTCTTTTCAGATCTACTTGAATGAATTGAAGTGGAAGCAGACCCACGAGGCCTGTGGCTCCTGTGTTGGCCATTTTGGACAGCAAAGCCTTTTGCAGCAGCTTACTCTTAGGAGGGCTCGGAGGGATTGGGTACAACAAGTGGGAAGTCATGCAAGACCCCTAACCCCATCTTTGCACATCCCCGGTCCCTATTCTCTCCCCACACCACAGTCCTCTGGGCAGGCATCTGGTTCGTGGGGTTCTGCTTCCTGGCCAACCAGTGGCAGCATTCACAGCCCAAAGAGTTCCTCCTGGGGAGCAGCAGCGCCAAGGCGGCCATCGCTTTCTCTTTCTTCTCCATCCCTGTCTGGGTGAGGTCGAGCCCCAGCCCTCACCACACCCCCAGGACCCTCTGCAGAATGGGGTGGGAGGGATAGAACATTCCAGCTCTGTGTTGCTCCCCTGGTGGTCAGGGGTTGGGGGCTCTCCCCGGGCCTCTGTTGACTTCTTCCAGGCTCACCTTCCTCTGAGCAGCCAGAGCCCAACATCAGGAGTGGTGCCTTGGCTGGGTGTCCATGGGCAGTGAGCAGTTGGCACAACTGGTCCCTGCCCCTCCCTCCCAGGCTAGTCCCTAGCCTGCCCTCTCCTCCCCTGCCCATCCCAAGCCAGCCTTCAGCCACCCTTTTCTGCCCACAGATATTCCAGGCTTATCTGGCGATCCAGGACCTCCGAAATGATGTTCCAGTCCCCTACAAGCGCTCCCTGGATGAGGGTGGCGTGGTGCTGACCACCTTCTCCCCACCCTCTGCCGCCAGCCCTGTCAATATGCCCACCGGCCCAAACAGCCTGAGTTACTCCAGCTCTGCCCTGTCCCCCTATCTGACCACTCCAAAGGCCCCTCGCCTTGCTATGATGCCTGACAACTAAACCTTCTTGTCCACATCAGTAAAGAGATACTCCTCCCTCCAGAAGGGTTTCTGAAAACAGCCCTGTCCTTCTCATGTCTGTTCTGCTTATCCCATGAGTGGCTGGGGGTGAGGGGGAGAAATCCCACTGGGTCACAGAGGTCTCTGCAGTAGGTCACATTACTGTAGCACCTCCAGGTACCCTCTTCCTGGCAGCGGGCAGGAAGCTATTTTCATGCCTATTAAGTACCAAGTCCTGTCCCATCATCTGCTCCTCAAGCCCCTCCCACACTGCCATGGAGGGAAGCACAAGCTGTCCCATAATACAGGTGAGGAAGCTCAAGTTCAGAGAAACTGTTTCCACCCGTGGAGAGAGCACCAAGAATCAGGGCAACGACGAGACCCATCCAGTGCTGATGTCAAAGCCCATGGCCTTCCACTACTTACAGTGACAAGGGACCCAACACAAAACCATGCTGTCTGAGGAGGCACTGGTCCATGAATGAGGTTCAGGGGAGATTCTTGTCTTCAAATATTCCAAAGTCCATCTTTGGAAGGGAGGGATTTCTGCTCTAGTGGAACCCCAGGGGTAATAGGGCACTTGTGCACAGGCCACAAATGCTCCTGCCTCTGGGGTCCAGCAGGTAACCCCAAAGGGAGAAGCACCTGTCGACATAGTAGCAAGGAGGGGGGGGCCTCTCTGGGAGGGGCAGCCTCCACCCACCATTCAGCCACGCGGCCTGGAGATACTAGAGCAGCGCTGTCCAATTGAAATTGGCTAGTAGCCCACCACATTAACAAAGCAAAACAGTGAAGTTCATTTTAATATATTTTATTCAACCCAATATGTCCAAAATATCATTTCAACATGTAATCAATATAAAAATTGTCAGTGAGGTATTTTACATTTTTTTATACTGAGTTTTGAAATCCACATGTATCTTACATTAACATCTCACCTCATTTTGGATTTGCCACATTTCAAGTGCTCAATGGTCATGTGTAACTGATGGCTACCATATTGGACAGTGCGGCTCTAGAACCTGTTTTTTCAAGAACAACTGGACATCCATTTGTGTGTGTGTGTGTTTTAGTGTGAAATTAGGGGCAACAGATACAAAAAAAAAGTGATCACTGTGTGCAGGCCAAACAAAACACACCTACACAGGGGGCCACTGCAGCTGCAGAACATTTGTTTCCAAACTGGACAAAGGGATGTGGGTTGTGGGGAGTCAAGTTTGGGTTCAATTGGTCTCTTTTTTGAGGCTTCATGTGTACCAGGCCCTGTACTTGGTTCTGGAGGTACAGAAATAAATACAACACGGTCCCCATGGGCATCTACAGAAAATGGCCACAGTGCAGTGGGACAGGAAGTACTCTGACCTGGGAAATGGGAGGGTTCTGAGCCTTTGCTCCTCATTCTGTCACCAGCTGGATGGTCTCAGGTGTGTCACTTAACTTCTCTGGGCTGGGTTATATTGGCTTACAACTAAAGAATTGGATCTGATTAGACAGGCAGTTTTCAGACTGGGTTCAAAGAGGTGCCTAGGGCTGAACAGGCAGGGATACCGCCCTTACCCCACAGTTCACTCAGGCGGCCCTGCTCCTGTGTTTCCAATACCAGGCTTCTAAACAGAGGTCCCTTGGCTTAAAAGGGCACAGGCCGGGGGGGGGGGGGGGGGGCTAAAAACACACAGAAGCAGTTAAACACAAAGGCTCTGGTGTCAGGAACTGCATATGCAAACTCCATCTTTGCCCTTACCCCACCAAGCCAGTTTCTTCATCTATAAAGAGCCCCCTCTTTAGGGAGGATAAGGGTCAAATGAGCTTATCCCGGTGATGCACAGGGCCTGGTACCTATTAAGGACTCAGGAAATGCCAGCTCCCTGCCTCCTGAAGCTTCCATGGTTATCCTGCAGAAAGAAGATCTGGAGGCAGCTGAGCAGAGTTAGGAAGTTCTCATACAGAAGTCTGACTAAAACGAGGGTCAAATCTAAATGTTTACAAGAGCCAGACAGGTTACCTAAGGGCAAGAAACAGGCCAGGTGTGAAGCCAATCCAGAGAGAGACCTAGAAAATATTTAATTTGCCTTTTAACGCTACACAAACAAATCAAAACAAAACAAACAAGACACATGGTGTCAGTCCAATAATGAACTACAGCAACTCCACAGCCAAGTCCTGGGGACTGTGGTGAAATGCTCACATCCCCTCCATTCAGTGCCTGCCATCTGCTACAGTCCAGAAGTGCAGGCCCAGCACCGTCAGGCTGACAGCTCTCTTTTTAAGAGAAGCCAGAAATCCAGACTTCAAAGTGAAAATCTGGTTTTGAAAGGCTGGTGACCCATTCTTTTTTCCTTCCTTTCTTTTTCAAAAAAAAACACCATGTGGCTCAACAAAATGCATCACAGTGCCATTCAAGGCGGGCCAGGGGCTACCCACTTGTGGCCTCTGACATACATGTTCTGGAGAGTCCTCCACAGCCCTGAGGGTCTGGAGGGCCATCAGGCAGTTTCTACGGCAAGATTCTTACAATCTTCAAGATTTTCTCCAAAACCTCTTCCCCAGCAGAGCCGTAAGAATCAGGGTGCAGCTGAGTCTTGGAAAACCCCATTTCTCATCTTCCTGCTCCTCCCAGGCCTCTGGTCACCAGGGACAGTCCATAAGGAAAAAGCAGAAGCAGAGAGGGGTTGGGGTAGGACCCCACATATGCCAGAGAGAGGGCAAGGAGTAGCAAAAGAGGTATCATTTTCCTCTGTTTATTTCAAGAGAACAAAGAATTAACCATCAAATTCTGTACAAAAACATGGCATCAGAGCTGTGGCAACCCTTATGCCAGCCCCTTCCCATGCCTGAGCCCAGAGCCCCCCTCATTTGTGAAAAAACAGGAAAAAAACAAAAACTCAAATTCTGGGGGGGCGTTATTATGAAAAATCAGGGGAAACCTTCCTGGGCCCCCCTTCTTCCCTATCCCCAACCCAGGAACTTGGGTGGAGGCGCTGTGGTCCTGGCCACGGTGAGAAGTGGGGCAGGCAGTGGGCAGTTTAGTGTTTGGCAACCAGTGGGGCTGTGGGCAGAACCTGGAAAGGCCTGAGGGGCTCGAGGACGGGAAGAGACCCCTGGCCCGGCCTTGGCCCATAGTACACTCGAAAACAGTTTATAAAAATTGGGGCCAGAGAGTAGAAGAGAAAGGAGTCATCAGAATCAAAAACTAAATAGTGGAAAGATTTTTTTTTTTTTCTTCTCTAAAAGGCAAAAAACTACAAACAGCCCAGGTCCTGAGCTCCCCAAGACTTGGGTCCTCCATTGCCCCCCACCCCAGCCCAGTAGGAGTGGTTATGGGGAGCAGGAAGAGATGGATTCTTTAAAAAGTCACCCCTGGACGGGAAGTCAACCCATCTTCTGTCACCTTCCTCTGCCTCCCGACACTGCCGAGGAGAGGGCTGGTGAGGACCAGGGCTATGCCGGCAAGCTTAGCTTCTTCCCCTTTAGGACTGTGGAGAGAGATGGGGTGGTGGTTAGCCTGGAGGCCCTGCAGAAAGGGGACCATGTCCTGCCCCCAGAGCAGGGGCTTGTGCATTGGGCTGGGCAGACATGCAGGGAGGGACAGCTCCCAGGACTGAGGATCATGAACTGAGGGGACTGGCAGAGACCACAGAGGGGTGAGGTCGGGAACCTTGTTCTCATCCCAGGGACTGAGCAATGGAGGCCAAGAGGAGGCCCCATTTCTTCCAGTGCTGGCTGTTTCTCTTTCTCCCTCTCTGGCAGGGCTGGTCAGGTGAAACCTCCCCCTCCCACCCTCAAGACTTACTCCTGGGGGCTGGGCACTGTCTCCAAGCCTCTGCTCATCACCTCTCTTTCCTTCACATACTAACTCCTGGGATTCGAGGTCTCTGCTTAAACACCACCTCCTCCAAGAGACCGACCTGCCCACGTCGGGTAGCCCCCACCCTTCGCAGTTCTCCATGAGCATCCTGGTTCCTTTCTTCCATAGCTTTTCTCAACATTGGTAATTCTCTTTCTTTATTCACTCACTGTCTCCCCAGGAGAATATAAGGGGAGGGAAGGGCCTTGACCACCTTTTCTCCTGCTACATCCCCAGAGCCTAGTGCTTGATGAATTTGTTGGACAGATGGATGGATGGATGGATGAACGGATGGATCTCATTGTGCCCAAGTCCCCACCTGGCCTAAGCTATACTTGAAGCAATCAATACAGTCTGAAGACAGGAACTCCTTGGTCCTCGGGGAGAAAAGGGCTGGAGGCATGAATTCCTAGGGGACAGAGGGTGCGGGACCCCAGAAGCCAGGAGACGAAGCCCTCCCTCCCTTGAGCAATACAGGGCTGAACAGATGGACGCCAGGCCATGGGGAGGGTTGGGGACAAGGCAAGGCAGGCCCCCTCCAGCCGGCCCTGCATCCTGGCTACCTTTGGTGATATAGAGGTAGAAGAAATCGCAGTAGAGGACAGTCTGGACCAGGCCAGCCACGATGGCGATGAGATCGAAGAAGCCCTCAAAGTGGTAGCGCCAGATCCAGTTGAAGAGATACAGGGTGCGGTAGACGCCCAGGGCAAACAGGTAGTGGCTCGTGATGGTCTCCGCCTCGCCAGTCTTGCTCACCATGAACAGTTGCGGCAAGATGGCCACCGACTCCAGGTAGATGGAGAAGGTCCAGAGGATCTGCCGAAAGGCCAGGGAGTTAGAGCAGAGGCCGGGGTGAGAGGCTGGGATGAGGGGGCGGGGCAGGGGAGGAGGCAGAGAATCCGCTGCAGTCACAGGCACAGAGAACTCCATCCTGGTGCTTAGCACATGCCCCATGCCATCCTGCCCTGTTTCAATGCAGCTCCTTTAATCCTCACCACTGCCCCGTGGCAGAATCATAACTATCAAACCACCCATCTACAGATGTGGAAACTGAGGCTCAGAGAAGGTTGCTAGGACACTTGCTAGTAGCTAGAAAGCAGCAGAAGCAGGGGCTTGAACTGGGGTCAGTACCGATGAGCTCTCTGCAACTGGCCTCTCTAAAGGTGGACTGGGTTGGAAACTTGGCTTGGAGATTCCCTTCTAATACCTTGGGTAAGACACCAGACTCACAAGCCTCCGCTTCCACCTCTCTACAACAGGGCTGCTTTTTTGCTCCCCGAGCATCATCATTCAATCTTTAGAGACCTCAATTAGACAATGTTGACCCTGGCTTAAAATCCTCCAGTAGCTTCTTCCTATCACAACAAGAATTAAATCCTAGTGCGTTGGCCTTCAGCACCTGTCAATCCAACCTCCTCTCCCACTCCCACTTCACTCTGGGCCACAGCCATCTGGGCCACCTCTCTGGTCCTCCAACATACCATGCTCCTTCCTGCCACAGGGCTTTTGCACTTGCTGTTGCCCCAGCAGGGAAATCTCTTCCCAGTGGTCATGTGCCTACCTCTTCCCTGGCAATAGAACTTCTGTCTCCTCCTGTGCTGTGATTCTATTCCTCAAGGGTAACCCTATGGGTGAGAATTGGGTGTACACCTGTCAAATCACTGTCTTATCTTCTTCCTGTTCCTCTCACCAGAACTGAACTCCATGGTGTCCTGCATCTTGCTCACCCTGGGGCCAGCACCTAGCACAGTTCCTGAATGAATAAGAGAGTGAGTTGAAAAGGACCCCCCATGCATGTGGCATAAGCCACCATTTAAGAGTAGTGAAAACCATCTTCATGAGCAGGGCAATGGTTTCACAAGACAGGAGAAAGAGACTACAGACATCTGCCAGTCCCTTGTCAGTCCCCAGCTCTCTGAAAGTCCCACCTGGGGTGATTCATGATCTGCAAGATACTCGAAACCTGCCCTCAGAGAACAAAGCCAGGTGGCAGGTGTGGCTCCTCCTCAGCTGTTTTAGTTTGTAGGAAGGAAGTGGAAAACACGAGGACGTATTCATAGCAACCTGTGCTCCTAGGTGCATCCAAGGCACTGTGGTATGCACCTCAGGCTTCAGTCTTACCCTGTGAGGTAAGTCCATTATCATCCCTGTTACATAAACGAGCAAACTCAGACCCAAGGGCTAAGTAACTTGTCCAAGGTCACACCAGATTCCCACCCAGGCAGCTGGACTCCAGGGCCTGCTCCCTTAACCACCCAAAATCCTCAAAGAGGCTCTTAGCAACCAGGTTTGGTTGAGGTTCTTGAGAAATGTACCCATTAAATTGATGTACACCCAACTCTCACTCATAGGTCTACCCTTGAGGAATAGAATCACAGCATAGGAGGAGACGGAAGTTCTGCTGCATTTATCTATTTCATGAGATCTGATTTTCCCCCTGGTACTGGGGATTGAATCCAGGGGTGCTCTACCACTGAGCTATACCCTAGCCCTTTTAATTTTTTCACTTGAGTCAGGGTTTTGCTAAGTTGCTGATTCTGGCCTTGAGCTTGCCATCTTCTTGCCTTAGCCTCCTAAAGCACAGGATTGCAGGTATGCCCACCATCCCAACATGATACCTGAATTTTTAAAGAGTATCTTCTTTCTATGATTAAAAGCATCATCAAGTAGCACAGGCTTTGGAAACAGGCAGACCTGAGTTCAAGTCTTACAAATTCTCCCTCTGAGTCTCATCTTAGTCCTCTGAGAAATCAGAATAAGTACATCTCCCCAGGATGACCAAGAGATCAGATGGGATGAAGACTAGAATAGCCCACTCAGGCCAGGCGCACAGTGAGCGATGAAACTTTGCAGAAGTGACCTTTCTTTGTGAACATGGGAAACACAAAGGCTACAGTCAAGAGGCTAGGGTTCTGGTCTGGCTCCCACCTTGAGAAAGCCTCCTTGTCTCCTGCAGCCTGTCAGCCTCTCCATCTGCAAAATGGGTCCAGTAACCTCTACTTGGCAGGGTGGCTATGATTTAGTCAAGGGTATGGCTAAGTGCCCTCTGCAAGGTGACCACAGTATATTTGCAAAGTCAGCATCTGAAATCAAGACCAGGATTCCCACCATGGCATGATCTGATCCCCTGTAGCATTTCTGGAGACCTAATGGATAGTCGCCCCTGTTAGATTTATCTCTACCCTACACAGTGCTTCTATTATTCTGAATCTGTGGCTAAAATTTTACAATGACATCTTGCCTGAAAACTCCTGAATTACACCTTCTGTCGAAAACATCAGCACGTCCAGCCACCCAGGGCCAGTTTCCTACAGGGCAGGAGTAGGGAAGGAAGGGTTGCCCTAAATTTATAACTCCCGCCAGGCTCCAGGAGGCCTGAAATGGCAGACCTAGCACGGGCCCTCCCAAAATCCCTCCCAGGAGTTTGTACAGGCCCCACCAAAATGCCATGGAATAAAGATCACGGCAGTTAACATTTCAAAGAAAAAGTATCAGGCACAGCACAAAACACTTAAGTCACCAAACACTTGCTGTCATGGCATTCCCGCCTCATGCCAGACACTGGGCCTTACAAACATCAACCCTTACTAAACTCTTTGAGGGCTGGGGCTGCATGCAGCTCAACGCCAGACTACATGCTTAGCATGCCTGGAACACTGGGTTCCATCCCTGCACACACACAAAAGAAAGAACCTATAAGGTAGGAACAGATTATCCCCATTTTACAGACGAGGAAACAAGCACAGAGAGGTGTGCGTGACTTGCCCAAAGTCCACTGCTGCTAAGTGGAAGGGGCAAGCTTCTCCTGCACACTGGTTCTAGGGTCTCAATGTATTTAACCAGAGGCAATGTTGTCACATCTCAATAAATCCTCACAGTGACCCGATTCAACTTTACAAATGGGGAAACTAAGTTATGGAGAGGTCAAATCACAGGCCCAGGTTCAGGCTAGTAGAAAACAGCAGATCTAGGATACAAGTCCAAGTATCCGTGCCCCATGGTCCCAAGTCCTGAGCTATTCAGTTGGGTACTATCTAGGTTGGTGACCTTGGACATTTAGACTCCCTAGATTTCAGTTTCCCTACTTCCAAAATGGGATTGTTGCAAAGTGAGTCCATATCTGTGAACTGCATAGAAAATGTCTGGTTCATAGTGACTGCTGCTGCTACCCTTAACACTATCAGATTCCAGAGCCTGTGCGAGGAGCATGCAGGTCCTAAAATAAGGAAGTCTCATCAACCCCCATGGAAGGAAGCATTGGAGACTCCCTGCTATCAACAGTCCTTTGGCCACAATCATCTGACCATTGCAGGACACCAGGGGCCTACCTCCAGAGGAGTGAAGTCGTGGTTGACCAGGAATGCCAGGATGGCTGTGGGGACAACAAGGAACTCCACCCGGAACGTATCGTGGTTCCCATCGTAAGTGGCTTTGAACTTGCTGTAAATCATCCAGACCGTGGTGAAAGAGCAGGCTATGTAGACCACCTGATGAGGGGCATGATGACAGGGTGTCTCAACTCACAAAGCAGGATGGAAGCACAGCCCCCTTCCTACTCAGAGGCAGAAATTCAAGTCCCCAGCCCCTGCCCCGTCAAGAGTCCAGACCCTCAGGCCCAGGAGCCCAAGCCTCAGGCCCCACACCCACTCTTGCCCACTCTTCCCTGGGACCCTCGCCTGGCTCCCCTGCCTCAGGGGGCCCAGGGAGGTCGTGTGGAGACTTTACCTTCATGCACGTGTTGTAAAGTGAGATGTAGTTAGTGAAGAGGTCCAGGTAGCGGGCAGTGAACACCACAGCAAACAGGACCTGGCTCTTCCCTGAAATCCCTGTGGTCCAGACAGAGAGAGGAGGAGGAGAAGGAGGCTGAAGAGGGTTGCATGAGCAGTAAACTAAAGCAGGGTGCCTGGGACGAGCCTGGAAACCGCTCTGGAGTGCAGCAGTCCCAGGAGGCCTCCCCAACCTCCTTTGCTTCAGCAGGGCCCTTTCCCACGGCCCACAGCCAGGGGGCAGCCAGTCCCAAAGCTACTCTAGCCCGAGGCTTCAGTCCCAGTCTAGGCCTCACTGCCACTTCTGGCCCCCTCAGGGTCCTCCCACCATCTGGACCGAAGGTGGGGCCTAAGGAGGACCCTGCCTGACCTCAGCCCCCGGAACCAGTCACCTCCCTCTGGTCCCTTCCCGGCCACCGCGGTCCACGTCACCAACTCATAGCCACCTCCCCGCCTTCCGTGGTTCCCTGTTCCCAGCCCGGAACCCCACAGCTGCCCAGATTGGGGCTGTAGGAGGCTAAACTGGAGGCCTGGAAACACCCTCAGTGACATGTATGCACCTCCACCCGCGGTCTGGGGAAGGGAGTTGACCCCCTGCTGACCCCGGACATGAAGAGGGATCCCCAGCAAGCAGCGGGGGCTGGAACTTGTTCCCCTAGTGCTCCCAAAGCCTTCCCCCTGTCCTGGGACGCCCCCCGCAGTCTGTCCCCTCTGCCCGGGTGGGCCTCTCACCGGCACACGAGCGGGACTTCCAGATTTTAAGCAGTAGCAAGATGATGGCTAGGAGGTGGGAGAGGTCTCCCAGGAATCGGAAGAGATTCATGGCTGGGGGGGCTCTGGCAGGGCTGAGCTGGAGGGAGGCAGGCTGGTGGGGGCTGCCCCCCGGGGCTGCTGTTCTGGCGGGCGGCGGGCAGAGGGGCGGGAGAGGGACCCTCGGGTGGGCTCCACTCCGGGGAGGGGGTTCTATGAGGGGGAGCCGAGGCCGGAGCTGGCGGCCGAGCTAGAGCGGGGAAAAGGGAGGAGGGAGGGAGGGGGAGGAGTCCGGAGTGGGAGCTCCGCCCCTGAGGGCGGGCTCCTGTCTCTCGGGCTCCCCCTGTCGCCCACCTCCAGCCTTACAGAGCCGGCGCCGAAAAGCGCCCAAGGCTGTGTCCTATGAACTTGCAGGGTCGCTCGGATCCGACACTCCCAAATCCCGCACTTGATCCCCTAGGCCATCTGTGCCACGGTAAAGGACAGACTACACCAGCCAAGCCTCTGCCCTTCACAGGGATTCGGAGGCTGGCCTCTGAACTTTAAAAACCCAGGGCCCAAAACAATAACAACAAATCCTTGACCAAGACCAAGAGGCTGGGCGGTAGTTTCTGACCTTCTCAAGGGCCCTCTCCAATCCACCCAAAAGAAAAAAGGTGACCCGCCCCCATCCTCTCCTTCCTCATGCCCTCCTTCCTTAAATCCAAGAGTCCAGGTCCCAGCCCTCCTCCCTCAGACCCAGGAGTCCAGAGTTCCTTCTCCACTGGGACCCAGGAATCTGGGGCCCCTCCGTCAAACCTTTTAAGTGCTCAGGCATTTTGACACTCTCTTTGATGAAACACCCTCAGGAACCTGAGACCCATGGATATAACCCTGGGGAAGGCAGTCTGCTCAAGCCTCTGAGGAAATACCTTCATATCACTTCTTTTTTACTGATGGACCACAATCTCCAATATCCAGAAGGAAAGCAGTGTCTGCTCCATCATAGACACAGCAGTCCAGACCACAGCCTGGTCCCCGAGGTTCCACAAGACCACATTCTCATCTTATCCTTCCAATTGGGGTGTTCCTGGTGTTTCTATAAAGCTGCCCAGACTGTTCTGGGAAGTTGTGTGGTGCAGGACACCTGGGCCTGAGAGTGGAGGCCGAGAGAGGGAGAGTGAAAGAAAGAGAGAGAGAAGGTAGAGGTAACTGGAGCAAGAGCCGGAACCTGGCTCAGGAACTCCTGAGCTAGTCCGAGTGTAAGTTTTGCCCTGGAGCCCATTAAGTGAGACTCTTGTTCCCTTCATTGCCAAGGTCTGGGAGGGCAGGGCTGAAGGTACCCATTCCTGAAAAGGAAGAAACTTGGGGACTAGAGTTTGAATGTTAGAGGAAGAAAAGGATTGTGGCTCCAGATTCCTGGGATTCAGATGCTTGAGCCATAAAATGGTTGGGATGAGACCCTAAGTTCCAAGGAAGGGGGTCATGGAGGTGAGGGGCTGGGGCCTGGACCCCTGGGTCTGAGGAAGGAGGGCCTGGGGGTTTGGACAACTGGCTCTACCATGGAGACCTAGTTCACAAGCCTGGCCTCCTGGAGCAATAGAAGGCAAATGATGGCTCTTAGTATGGTAGATTTTGAAGTCAGAGAAAGGACTCGTGCTTCCCACACCTCAAAGTGAGAGTCAGCAACCCCTGGCCTGGGAATCTAGCTCGTGTCTCCATAACAGTCCTTGCCTACCCTCCCCCTTTTTCCTCCCTTTTTATTTGCAGCCCCTCACTGCCTTGTCCCAGGAGAAAGGGAGAAGCTGGGAGCAAGGTGGGGGGCGGCCCCCTCCCCCAACCCTGGCAGGAGGAGGGGTCCCCAGGGAGGCCAGGAGGGGGGGCTGTGGGTCTCCCGGCAGGGACGGACGGGGACTGAATGTTAATCGCATCCCAAGTGAGTGTGTGTGTGCGAGAACAGAGCGAGTGTGCGAGTCCCTCCCGCTCGGCTCCTCCAAGCCGCGGCCGCCGCCGCCGCCGCCGCCGCCGCCACCACCCTCCGCCACCCTCCGCCCGCAGCCTTCTCGGCCACCGGCGCCCAGCTGGGGGGTGTCGGCCTGGGTGGGTCCGCCCGGCCCCCAGGGGTCTCTCGTGTGACTGCCATCTGCCCGGTGAGAATGTGTGTCTGGGTATCAGGGCTGGCTGTGGGGGGGTGTGTCTGTGTTAGGGCTGCGGCGGCCGAGGGAGGAGGGGTCTGTCTGTCTGTACCGACCCTGAGCCGCCTGCTGGCACGTCGCGGGCCTCCCAGTCCCCCCCCTGAGCCCCAAACCTGGATGAATGGTGTATACCTGGGTTCTGTGCCTCCTGCCTGCGTCCGGCTGGGTGTCTGAGTATCCCCGGCTGCCTGTGTCCTCCTGTCTGTCCGAACAGCCCCTGACGGCAGCCGCAGCTCGGCCCCCATTGGACCCCTGTGTGTGTGTGTCTGTGTGTGTGTGTGTGTGTGTCTCCCTCCTTGAGCTCCGGGGGTGTTGAGGGGGAATCCCAGGGAAGTGAGGCTGTGCGTGTGTGCGCGTGTGTATGTGTGTTTCTGGCTGTGTTTGAGAGTGGGGGCGCCAGGGGAGGGGTCTGGAGGTGACCAAGCGAGGAGGGGGCAAGCGGTCCCCAGACAGGCAATCTCCCGCTTCTCACGCTAACACGCACACCAAACACCCGCTTCAGAGGTGACCCAGACAGACAGACAGACAGGCACAGACGCTGGAAGGAGGGGGGCGCAGAGGGCATAAAGCAGAGGGGTGCGAATGAGCCAGGGAGAGGCGGGATGGGACACATGAACTGGGGGAGGAGCCGGGGCTGAAGCAGCAGAGGGGGGCACCCCGGTGGGTGGAGGGGGGATCCCCGCGGGGTCGGGGCCGCAAGAGGACACCCCGACAGCCTCCGCAATGTCCGGGGCCCAACTTCCAGCGCAACATGTGTAGCCTCGTCCTCGCCTAGTCCGGGTGGCCGCAACCTTGGGGAACAGACAGGGCAGGTCAGGACCAAGGAAGAGGAGGGAGAGACGGAGCCAGGAACAGGCAAGAGGTCCCCACCGCCGCAGCTACCGCTACCGCCGCTGCTGTTGCTGCCGCCGCCCCGGGGCCTGACCCCCCCACCCCATCGGCTCCCTGAGCCCTGCGCGAAATCTTCGGGTCGCTGGACGCCGGCTCCGGTCCTGGCACCCCCGCAATCCCCCCAACAGAACAGGGTCATGAAAAGGTAAGGTCGGGGCAAGGGGATTCAAGGTGGGGGTGGGGATGTGGACCCCCAAAATCTAGGACAGGGAAAGTTGCCCAAGGGCCTCATGGAGGGAGGGGGCTCAAATGGCAGGCAGAAGTCTGTACCCTCAGCTCCCTTGCCTCTTGGGGACTCTCCTCCACCCCCTTTCTCCCTGAGCCCCTTTTTTCCTGGGTCTCTATACCTCAGACCTCCTACGCCCCCCCCCCTTTCTCTTACACTGCTCCTCTAGCCAGCTGCACCTACCTGACACCCCATCTCTGACTCTCCAGCTCACCTCTGCATCCCCCTCCCAGCATCAGTCTCCCCATTGCCGTCCAGCCCTCTCCCTCTCTCCTCTCCTTTCCCCTCCCATCTTGGAGCTATGAGTCTGCTATTAATACTCTTGCCAAGGACCTTGCGGGCATCCAGGCCCCCCTCACCCTTCACCCCAAGCCACCACCCCTTCCTCAAGGTTCTGGAATGCCCTTCTAGCCTCTTGCAAGCACCACGATTGGGGTGGGGAGACGCAGGGCTGTGTGTGTATGGTTGGGAGGGGGGACGGGATGCCGTCTGCAGCACAGCTTGGGGGGGGAACTGTTAATCAAAGTGGACTCTCTTATGTGATGGATGGGGGAGCAACGGAGACAGGGACGCCCCAGGAATCTCTGGCACCCTCCTCCTCCTCAGCTTGGGGACAGACTTGTGCCGTGTACAGTCTGAGTGGGGCCACTGGGGAGGCCATAGCTGGGAGGGGGTGCCCAGGATGTTGGAACTGATTGGGTTTGAAATAAAAAGGGGTCCTTCAGGGAGAGCAGGGCTGGAAACAGATTCCTGGGTCTGGAAGCAGGAGAGACAGGATTCCTGGGTCCTGGGAAAGAACAGAGTAGAACTGGAGTCCTGGGGGAGGTGGGGGCTGACAGCCAAGAACAGGAGTCTTTCAGGAGAAGTTGCAGGGCAGTGCTCCTGTGTCTGAGGAGGGCCAGTGGTTCAAGCTCCTGGCCGAGCAGGGGTGAGGGCCCAGCCTCTTCAGCCTCTGTATGGGGCCAAGATTCATGAGGAGGTAGAGATTGGAGCTTGGTTGCTTTCATTCTTGGGGGTGTGGGCTCTGGGAATCGAGCTTCCAGGGAACTGGACGGCTGGGAATGCCACCCTACAGTCCCTGACGGTTGGGATTTGCCCTCCCAAACCCCTTATAGGAAATGACTGGGCCTCCAGCCTCCTGAGAAGGGTGGGGCTGGGGGTTACCCTCCTGGGCCTCAGAAGGGAGCAGGACCCTGAGGTCCCCAAAGGCAGAAGGCAGGCAAGAGTGGGTCTGAGAGGCAGAGGAGGGGGCCAGGGGTGAGCAGCCATCAGGAAGGGAGGGGAGAGCCAGTGTTAACCCCGCGGGGGCCAGGCCACAGCTGTGGGTTATTTTGGGGTGGAAGGGGGGCTATTCTGAGCACTGATTAAGCCAGCTGCTTGGGGAAGGGCAATGGAGAGGAGGGGCAAGGAGGAGCCAGGATTTGGGAGGGATGCCAGCAAGGAGCACCCACCCCTTTCCCTGGGAAGACAGTGGCCTGGTATCTCTGGAAAGGTGGGGTAGTGGGCAGAGGGGAGGGGCAGAGGCCTCCAGGCAGGAGTGGAGGTATGGGCCTTTCCCCCAACCAGGCTGGCTAGCTGGGTGGCTGTAGGGTGGATGAGGCCTGTGCTACCATGGTAACCGGACAGGAGACTGATTGACAGCAGAGAGAGCCCTTACCTGTCTGGACCTCCACCCCTCCAGGAACCCCCTAGTGCAGACTCCAGCACCACCCTGGAAGCTAGGAGTCCAGTCCCCAGTGCCCTCCTTCCTCAGACCCAGGACCCAGGAGTCTGGGCTCCCAGCCCATCCACTCCAGGCAGCTCGTATTCAACAGGGAGCTCCTGAGGCAACGCTGTGTTTCCTCTAATTTATTAAATTGCTCCAGGATGGGAGCCAGGGACCCCCTCCCCAACTCTCCACAGCTGTGTCCTCCCCCCAACCCCGAATCCTAGCCTGGCCTGTGACTGTCACTCTGAGAATGGGGGTACAGGGACAGGAGTAGGGGGCAAAAATGGACTGGG